TCCCATTGATGCATATACAATGAGGCAAAAGCACTAAAGAGCAACAGCTTCATACCTAGCCATTACCATGTCTTGGGATGTCTTAAGACATGTCTAAAGACACATTATGAAGATGTCTTAGGACATCCTGAGGCATGTCTTAAGAAATGAAGACATGTCTATAGACACGGATATTAAGATGTCTTGGCCATAACAACATCCCAAGATGTCTCAAGATGTAGGATGCATAATATATATATATATATATATATATATATTTTTATTATTTAAATTTTACCTTTTTTTTTAAATCTTTTGCTTTTAAATATTTTAAGGGAATATTAAAATGTAACATTCTATTTTAATTTTATTATATGTATTTTATTTTTTATTCTATGTAAGATGCATAATAGTATTATTTATTTTCATATATATTATTTTATATAATTTTATAAACATACAAACATTACATACATTAGTACATGCTACAGTGATAAATTTCAGAACAAATTTAACAATAAAAGTAATCATAATAATAATAACAATAACAATAACAATAATAATAATAATAATAATAGGCACCTGGTTTCCAGTCTGTAACTTTCTTTACAATGAGCCATTTTATAACAAACCACTAAATGGCTTTGTTTACATCGCAATGACAGAATTACACAAAATTTAGAAAAATGTGGAATTTCCCTCTAAATGTTTCTGTTGCATTAGAAAAGCTTATAGAATCAGTGATATGATGAAAATTTCTTTGTAAGTTCAAACCATGCCTTCAACATGGTGATAGTATGAGGGAAGACTCTTATGAAACTATTTTTTTAAAACAGCCTTGCTGCAAAATTTAAAAATCTTATTCAGTGCTTTTAAATACCTTCTTTATAGTAATTAACCCTTTATGAAAACATATTTTTGTACAATTACTATTTTACAGTCGCTTCATTTTTTAATGAAGGTGTCATTTGATGAACATTTATAATATTAATAATAATAATAATAATAACAATAATAATAATAAATACACATAAATTACAGCAATGTATTTTAAAGGGGTATAGAAAATAACTATTTTACAGTTTTGTATTTCCCATAAATGGGGATAGCGCATAAAAAGCACCCACATAGCATGTTTATTGTTGTTTATTGTTTATTTGCTGTTAACTTTTTTGAAAATGACATTCTACATCCACAAGTGTAAAGGCACAAAATTAAATAATTATAATTGATAATAATAATAAAACAACAATAATAATAATAATAATAATAATAATAATAATAATAATAATAATAATATTACTCAATGTGCATATGTCCATGCCATAATACCTGAACACTAACATTACTGATATCACACTGCTAATGTTACCAATCACTCCTTTTAGAGTTAAAGCCGTGATAAATGAGAGAACTGTCAGATTCACAGCCCATCACTTCTTCCTCTGTTTTTTCTCAGTGTTAGTCTTCTTTGTCAGAGTTATTGGGAAAATGCATCTGTTGAAAAATCAATTTTAAGACAATAAATTGGAAATTACTTTTGGATCTGCATACACAAACAGGCTGAATTCAAAGAGGACCTATTAAGCTAATTTCCAATGTTCATAATTTTATTTTTGGGGTCTACTAGAATATATATAGAATATAATTACATGCTTCAGTGTTCCAAACACACATTTTTCTCATAATGTAAATCTCTACTCACCCTCTGTCTGAAACGCTCTCTTAGAGCTCCTGTGTCTTTAAGCTCCTCCTTCCTGATGAGCCCAGTATGCTCTTACTAGTCAGCTCGCTCACTTGGTTCTGACTGGTCAAGCGCCAGAGCGGTTCCGCCAATACACTGCCTCCGGTAGATGCGATGCGTTGCGTTGTGGGAGGGTGTGCCAACCTCGCTGGTAGGTGGGCAATAAGGATTGTGTTATGGGATTACATCATCTTGTAAGAAAAGGAAAAGGGCTGGGGTTCCAACTAACTCCAGCCTTCAGGCAGCTGAGAAAAGTGGTTTCTGTGGGTGAGAGTTTCTCCCTCTGGCAGCTTTGTATCTTTGCATTTACATGCACAAAAATCTACATAACACACTAAATGAAAGGGAAAGCATTATATATTCCCTTTATAAGTAGAATATAATGTACAGTATACATACGTTTACTCATCTAAAATCAACTCAGGCATTTAGTACACAAAGAAATGTGACAAGGCTTTAAATAATACCTATGCATGAACCCCAGCGTGGCACCCAGCTCACATGCATAGCTGATGTTCAGACAATGATGTTCGGTGTAATGAAAGAAGCATCAGGATGAGGCCACTTGGGTAAGAGCACAGTTGAGTGTTGACAATGATATGGACTGCCACCATACTGGATGAGGCCTAAAGAAAGGATGTTCCTTTGGAGGAATTGAAAACATCATAGTTGATTAGATAATTCACAGTTCTATTGTTTTCATCCTCTAACATGCCTGAATCAACACGTGACAGAAGTGATCATTTGCTGTTGAGGCAGGTGTGAGCTTTGTACTGATATCTGTAAGCTGTGTTAAAGGAGAATTCCACCATTTTTTCAGCATAATTTCATCATTAAGGTGCAAAAAAGTAGTTTGATATGAAATGTTCCATTGTGGAAAAACTTACAGAGTCAGAGTTGTTCATAGTGGCAGTGTTTACCTGGCATGTGTTTACCACATGCTGTATGCTATAAATTGTAGTGCTCTGAGACTTGCAGTATTACACATTAAAACACTGTAAAGAAGTAAATTCATAAATACTGATACAGTGTTGGTGATATTGCCATATCGATATTTTGAACACTGCTGTAATGGCAAATAATATATTAATAAATTGAATGAATAAAGCGCAGATATTTAAATACTGTAACCCAGCTTTACCTAAACATTCTGCTCGTCTGTATTACCATAAATACTTAATGAAATATCTTTGTTTGAAATACCCACCAAATCTAAACATCCGTCTGACATTCACATATTTTTATTTAATAAATTAAAACTTGAGTCTCACCAGTTGTTCAGCTTCAGATGATTTTCGACGAGAAACATCTAAAACAAAACAGACACATGAGGTAAATGCAGCAAAACAATAACAGCAAAGCATAATGATGAACTTAAACACAAAACAAACTGGTCATTATATATTACTGACTAAAATGTAGCAGAGTAAAACATTAATTATTAATATAAAGCACAAATAATGTCTTTTAAAATACTCTGGAAAATACAAATCCACCAGAATGTTACTGGAGTCTCTGAACTACACAGACTGACGGACTCTGTTCAGTTTCATTGTTGTATTGTTCAGTGCGCTAACCTTGCTGCACTGTGATCAGTCTTTGATTTAATTCTGAGGCAGCCTTTCATTTGTTCCAGCTACCTAAATGCTTCAACTGACTGATTCTGCTGCACACCAGCACAGTATCTCACCTGTCCATCCTCCAAACCTTATGAGCTTCCATGGCTGCACTGCTGAGATCAGACAGCTGCACAGATCTGAAGCTGCGCGCACTTTATCTTTACGTTTACAGTGCGCTGCTGGGGGCGGGTGCTAAGCGACATCTGATGCAGCCGCGAGGTGTAAACAAACAAGCTGCTTAGCTAGCTAGCTAGCTAACTACATACGCTAACCTAATGTTGGTGCCTTCACTCGGAACATTTCAAATAACAAACCATAACAGTTTGAATCATTCCCTCAAAACTTGCAGAACCAAGGACAAAACAAAACAAACATTTGGTTATGTTTCATACCAGACAGTTTGAACGCCATGTTATTTGGAACCAACACGCACTTCATGTGGTGTCTAGGTATTGTTCATTACCAGTAACTCAACCACAACATGACTGTTAACTATAAGAACAAAATAAATCACTAATAAAAGAAAAGCAAACATTTCAAACCAGAGCCCTATGGTTTTCTAAAAGAAATGATTACATGGGTAAGATTAAGAAAGTAATAAACATTCCGTACTCTTAGCATCTACTAACAGAAAGAGATACACATTAGGAAATGAACTACATAAAATACAAGTAATATCACTCGTAACAATATGATGTTTCAAACATCATGCAGACATGTGAGTAAGAGTTCTTTCAATCCGTGAAAGAATGGCTTTGCAATGGTGTGGCTCACAAACATATGGTGATAGTCTAAAATGAACCTTTCAAACTTTTTTGCTATGCAGCTAAGAAGAACACAAACCTACAGTGATGGTCTAAAATTAGAAGATGACACATCTCTGACTGAACCATCAGCCACTAGCTGATGACTGCTATTATCGCAAGCTACTGCTAGCATGTTTTTTATACTAGACTACAGTAACATTTTACAACCAAAAAAGGACACTGTGCAAAATGTAAATAAAAACAGAATGCAATGATGTGGAAATTATTTAAACTTTATATTAAATTGAAAATAGTACAAATAGAACATATCAAATGTTGAAACTGAGACATTTTATTTTTTGAAAAATATCAATTTTGAATTTGATGCCAGCAACATGTTTCAGAAAAGTTGAGACAGGGGCCTGTTTACCACTGTGTTGCAATTTTCCTGTATTTTTTATTTATTTTTTTTTTTTTATATAAGATTTTTCCATTTTGTTTGATAGAGGATTTCATCTGCTCAACAGTCTGGGGCATCCACTGTCATGTTTTTTTGTTTCATAATACGGCAAATCTTTTTCAGTGGGTGACAGGTCTGTACTGCAGGCAAGTCTGTCTACCTAATATTTTTTTCCCCAACTGCTAAACATAATAGAACATCTAAATATTATAGAACATACAACTTAGAGTATCACAGTCTGAAAAACACTGTGCATTCAAGTGTACATGGTCGTGATCTCTCGTTTCCCATTTTCACAGTACTGATGGTCAACAGGCGTTGTGCAGGTTTCTTTCGCTACAGCTGTAGCTCCCTCTCTATAATGCTGTTGATGTTGTTGGTGACGATGATGATGATAACGATGGTAGAAGGCACCCTAACGGTTTGCTGTGATACTGTGTCCTCTCCAGCAGATATACTGGAGAACATGGAAACAGCTGATCAGGCTTGTCATTATCTTAACTTGGGTCTGCCTAGCCATCTTTTGGTTGTTTGGGGTAAGTTCTAAACACAAATCACTATTACTACAAGACAAGGTATACTATTGTTCAACACTGAAATCATGACACAAAATTGTTAACAGTTCATCACTGACCTACTGAATGCATCTACTAGACAAACATTTGAACTGTTAACAGGACTACAAAATACCATAATCATGAAGAAGCATGCTGACGTGAACTTTCTTCTACATACAAAAAATTTGGAGAATTTTGTCATGGTGGCTGTGTTGTGGTTGTGGCTTTTCTGGAAGCATTATTGGTTCTATTTTGGATGAGGGGATCAATCCTGCTGTGAGTTTTCAAATTAAGACTATAAAACACATTGCCTAAGAAAGTTAGCTATTTTTTAAGGAACGTTTAGCTACATAATTAAGAATATGTGCGCAAGATACAAATTTCTCAGTTGTCCCAATACCAATTTTGAAATATTTCAATTGAGATAATATTTAAATTGACCTGTTCATGCTCTGCCCACAAATGCTCTTATGTAGCTACTGTTGGAAAGTTAGACAAGCTTTACAGAACTTTACAGACCATTTAACCTAATAAAAACTCACTACAATTTTGTTTAGAGCTGATATACAGTACTGTGCAAAATGTTATTTCCTTTATTTATTAAAAGTCTGGCTGAAATGGTGATTAAGTTTCAAGTTATTCATTTTTCAGGAAATGTTTCAGAGGAGGTTAGACATTATACAGTCCCCCAGCACAAATAAATGAAAAATCAAATGAAAATAAGAATTTATTAATTAATAATTATTAAAATACATACCAAAAATAAAACTATCCAAAACTGTCACCATTGGACTTTACATAGTGTGTACATTATGACAAATGGGCCAATATATCTAAAATCATTGCAATAACATCTTATCATATTAAATTACATTAAAGTTAAGAAATGTGTTTCTTTCTTCTCACCATTTTGGATAGATGCAGGGTTTTGTTACGACAGCCATGATATGTACACTGGCAATCAAAAAAAATATATATTAATCACATGCGCATATGTCATGATGTTTAGCAACCATTTTGATGTGTTTATCCTGTCTGTTTACTGACATCCCAGGGAACATAGTATATAATGCTGGAAAAGTTTGTGTCCCAGGGAACTGAGTGTAAAATGTTAGAACTTTTTCTGTGTTACTAAAATGAGCTGCTCGGTTACACAACCCTGTTTCCAAGAAGGTTGGGATGCTGTGCAAAACGTAAATAAAAACAGAATGCAATGAGGTGCGAATCATTTAAACCCATAGTACAAAGAAAACATATCAAATGCTGAAATTTTGTTGTTTTTTGAACAATATATGCCCAAATTCTAATTTGATGCCAGCAACACGTTTTAAAAAAGGTGGGACAGGGCAGCAAAAGACTGGTAAAGTTGTAATAATTAAATAGTAATAATTAAGAAGTAAAAATGGGAGAGGTTCACCACTCTGTAAAAGACTGTACAGGCAAACAGTGCAACAATTCAAGGCTAAATAACAAAGAACTTGGGGATTTCATCATCATCATCTATGGCACATAATATCATTAAAAGATTCAGAGAATCTGGTGAAATCTCTGTATGCAAGGAACAAGGCTGAAAACCAGTATTGGCTGACTGTAATCTTTGGGCCTACAGACAGCACTGCATTAAACACAGACACAATTTTGTAGTGGAAATCACTGCATGGGCTCAGGAACACTTCCGAAAACCACTTTCTGTGAAAACAGTTTGTTGCAGAAACGTCGCCTTCTCTGGGCCCAAGCTCATTTTAGATGGACTGAGGCAAAGTGGAAAAATGTCGTGTGGTCTGATGAATCAAAATTTTAAATTCTTTTTGGAAATCATGGACACTGCATCCTCCAGGCTAAAGACCACCCAGCTTGTTATCAGCACACAGTTCAAAAGCCAGCATCTGTGATGGTATGGGGGTGCATGAGTGCACATGGAATGGGTGACTTGCACATCTCTGAAGGCACCATTAATGCTGAACAAAATATACTTTATAAAAAATATAATTTTGGCAACATATGCTGCCATCCAAATTATGTCTTTTTTCAAGAAAGCCCTTGCTTATTTCAGCAAGACAATGCCAAACCAGATTCTGCATGTATTACAACAGCATGACTCTGTAGTAAAAGAGTCCAGGTGCTAAACTGCCATGCCTGCAGTCCAGACCTGTCACCCATTGAAAACGTGGCGTATTATGAAAAAAAATGTGACAAAGGAGACCCTGAACTGTAGAGCAGCTAAAATGCTATATCAAGAAAGAATGGGAAACCTTTCACTTTATAAACTACAGTAAATGGTTTCCTTAGTTTAAATTAAATTCCTTAAATGCTTGCAGAGTGCTGTTAAAAGAAGAGGTCATCCAACACAGTGGTAAACATGCCCCTGTCCCAACTTTTTTGGAACATGTTATTGGCATTGAATTCAAATTGGGCATATATTTTAAAAATGAATACAATTTCTCAGTGTCAACATTTGATATGTTGTCTTTGTACTATTTTCAATTAAAAATAGGGTTTAAATGATTTGCACATAATTGCATTCTGTTTTTATTTACAGTTTGCACAGTGTCCCAATTTTTTTGGAAATGGGGTGGTATTTGCTAAGCTTTTGCTTGGTTTCTAGTATTCACTTGGTATGATTCTCCAACTTGAATACAGAGAGAAAAACACAATTTTGTTAAAGCTATGGGGGCAGGGCAACCCACATCAGCCTTGTGATCTATTAGGATGCTACTTATTGATGCATGACCCAAGATTATGACTGCTTTGTTTGCACTGAAAGAGGAGAATTTTGGTAAAATACATTTAGCCATTTGTGGACACTGGAAAGTTATTCACAAGATACGCTTTGCACATATATTTTGTGCCCACAAAAGCCAGATTTTTTGTGTTCTACCATCTGCCTCGTGATGGCCTCTTAACCTGTGGACCCCAGCTCTGTCCTGTTTTTTTAAAAATCAAAATGCATTTAGGCCCCTGGGCTTTAAAGGAAAAGGAAAAAAAACCTACAACCAATAGTAGATTTTCCAGCAAGACAATAGTCACATTTCAATACTTTTTTATTTTTTACATGTTCTCGCTCACCTCTCAGTAGTAGCGGAACAGCCCTTAAGATGAAACCCATTGTGAGGCTACACTGGCAAATGTGTAGAGTAGAAAAACGTCCTCTAAAATTATTTTAGATTATCTGTAGAGTAGTTTTCCCAAGAAATGCTGTTTAATGCGGAAGTAAAAGCAACTGTGTTCAGGGAGGTGGTTGAGCACGTCAACAGCACTTTTACTGCTACTTTCAAGCTGCTCTGGGAAAGACTAGCTAAAGTTTCAGTATGGCTGATGTACTTCAGTGAAGCTGTAAAGGTGTGAAGGCTAGTGCTTTGAAGAGTGTATCCACCAGATGTGTAGAGCACTACACACTTACTGGCCATATTATTAGGAACATCTACCTTGTATGTACACTAATACACCATGTACAGTACTGTACAAGTGTCCTAGGCGCCATGCCCTTTATTTAAAACCACATTTAAAAACACAACATATAATTAGAATAAATGTAAATAAATCGTTACTGTATCCCACACATTTTTCACTGCTGTCCACAGATCACCCATAGTGGTTGGAATTTCCTTCTCTGCACATTTCCCAACATGGTCCCACAAAACCCCACAAGGTTTTAAATCTTGTCTGAATTTCACTTAATGAACTTTGTGTCATCTTGCATTGTCTTCTTGGAATATCATCCTTTAAGCCAAAAGACAAGATAAACACATCAAAAACAGCAATTGTCTTTGAGCGTCAGTGTACATGCATGCTTTGCCTAGTTATAGTGCTGGCTAACTTATTGTTGATCTTTTATTGCAGGAACAACAGCCTGTGCATATCAAGAGCAACATAGCTCGCAAAACAGAGAGTATGCCAGCCACATCGATGGACAGAAGGGTTGCAAACTTGTCCAATAGTCCAACTGTCTTCCAATCTGACTCTGCTCACATCGCTTCAGTTGACCCCACCTTCATCTCACCTGAAGAACTCCAAACAATAGAAAAGGCGCTCGAATGGCCAGCCCCTCCCACCTCCATGATTGCAGCCCATCAGGCGACAAGCCCCTACACAAGCTCATACTCTTTGCAGAACCTGCACAAAAGCTACAGTGTTGGGGATGTTATCACAGCGATCATAACGGCAAGAGATGGTTTAAAGAACTCAAAAGTGTATGGTGGAGATTTCTTCCAAGCAAAACTGTTTAATGCAGAACTAAAAGCAAGTGTATATGGGGAGGTGGTTGACCACCACAACGGCACTTATACTGCTACCTTCAAGCTGCTCTGGGAAGGACAAGCCAGTGTCTCAATACGGCTGATACACTCCAGTGAAGCTGTACAGGTGTGTAGGCTAGTGCTTTGAAGAGTGTATCCACCAGCTGTTCAGACCACCAAACACTCACCAGCCACTTTTTTAGGTACCTCCACCTTGCATATACAGTTATTGTCTACCTTATCAGGTTCACTTACCATATACAGTACTGTATTCTAGTGACAAAGCCCATTAATGAAAACTACTGTAAAAAAGAAAAACAAAAAAAAAACAAAAAAAAACATGTATCTCCATTTTCGTCAATTTTTAGTTTTATGCATCATTTGAACATGGTGGCTGTTCCTTACGTCAAGTGAAAATTTCTTGATGAATGGACCAATAGAAATGCTCCAAAATGATTTCGAATAAAATCTCTTCACACTGATTAACATTAAAAGTAAAGTTACCATTTTGGAGATGCTTGTTTTTCTTTGAAAAATGACGATGTATACAAACAGTAACAAAAAGTCTCTTTTTACAAAAAATAGTAGTTGTCTTGTGAATTAATTTGAGGAACAAAGTTTGGTTCCAGTTGTTTTCTGGATGCCTCTCCTCATTACATTGAGTTGTTAAATTCCACTCCAGCACGCTTGATTTAACTGACTGAAGTAGTATTGAGGGGAGACTGTGATTGACGTGGGGAGAGAACTGCTGGGTGGGTGCTTAGAGCTAGAAGCCCAGAACACCCCTCCTTTTTGGATAGTGTAGGATTGACATAGGACTGAGGAACAGGGAGGAGCTGGGGTCCTGGTGGTAATTAGAGGTCTGCTTGGGACAGTTTTATTACAGTAAATTAAAAGTGAGCATGCTAACAGGTAAATACAAGATGAGCATGGAAGATTAGCTTAGCTCCAATATTATGTCAATTTATGTATGGTAATAATTGACAAATTCACTTCAAGACAAGCCTTGTAATGGCAATACTGAAACTAAATTAACACAGTTTCCAGCTTTTTATAATAGACTTCCACAAGGTGGTGCCAACAACTCCAAATATAACTCCAAAGGCCTTTTAGATATTTTTTTTTCAGGTGTGTCAAACGTTTGCACAGTACTGCTGGTGCACTTTGTAATTCTACAGTTACAGATTGCAATCCATCTGTTTCCCTATACAATTTGCCTATACAATTTAATTGAATGTTGTTCTGAGTAGAACCGAAGTGAAGTGGAAGCATGTCAAACACATTTACATAATTCATGTTTCATGTCTAAAGTTTGCTTCTTTTGCACTAGAATTACAATTATAATGTAGCTATGTAGCTTGCATGATGCTATATGTTGGTGTAGCTTCCATTACTTGTTCCTTGGGGAAAATTCTGTAAATTGGATTTAAAACTGTAGCTTTAACAGATCTGAATTGATTAAATGCATTTACTGCACAGTGACTGATTTGATCTTGAAGATGAGACTGGAACTAAATGTAATGGTTTGGATTTGAGTTGTTTTTGCTGGGATTGCAGGTACTACTTAGGCACAGAGAGCGAGATCCAGACAAGGTGTTCTTTGTGGGTGTGTTCAGAGGGGTCGATCACCAGGAAAAAGTGGTGTGTAATGCCCAGAGGAGTGAGAGGTTGCTAAAGGCCTCTCAGTGCTGCTGTGAATACAAACATCCAACTACTGGGGAATTATGGTTTTGTCGTAGACCCAGCCATCTGCCATGCTCAGCCTGGGTGGACCATGGCATGGGAGGATACCAAGCACAGCTGTCCAAACTGGACTCTACCCTGTTACACAGGTAAATGTTTGCATTAAAATCTCTGTAATTACAGAATAATAAGTCTTATTATGTAATAAGCTGGGGATTAGGAGCTGTAGGAGGTTAAACATTAAAAACAAAATCATTCAGATAGATCAGATAGATCTTTGAGAAAGCCAGTGACAAAGAGGTCTTATCTAAGATCTCCAGAAAACACAGAAAGAATCAGATCTGGTGAACTAAAAACTGAGGTAAATAGACTATGAGAACATGCTGACAGGTCAGGAACAGGTCAGGAACTATGCAGGGAGGTCCAGAATCATTTAGAAGGTAATACAGACTGTAAATATAGACTGTAACCAATTCAAGGGGGATGTGATGATTGACTGTTCATTGAAGTCTCTACAGCATAGACTATCACAATAAGAGAGAGAGTGGCACATCAAGGAGATGTCAGGAAGGTAAACAGCCCATGTTCCACAGTGGTCCCCGGGTCCGGTGAGCAGAAATACCACAACAAGACTAATATTGCACCACCACCATATCAAATTGCAGGGGCATCTGTACCGCTTCATAGAGAAACAAAACAGATTATTAGTTCTGTTTGGAATGCACTGGGCATGTAATGTGTGATGAACCAAGTGCAAGACTCTGAAAGGACAACTAAAAACAAAGGGAGAGCCAGAAATAAGCACAGGATTGAGAGCTCCTTGAGATGTCAGCACCCCTCCACTCCACCATCAACAACCCGAATGAGCATGTGAAAGCAGTGGGATCACCAGCATCTCAGTTTATCTTAATTTTCTATTTCCATGCATCCCCAGATATTCACCTTTTTGTCTAAGGGAGAAATTATCAAATGCTTGAGCAAACATGTAGATTTTTTAACCTTTAACAAGTAGATTTTTCAGACTCAGACACTGATTGGAAGCTTATTTCTTTCTGTGTAGGAAAAAGCTCTCCCCCCTTCTGTAGGTGTAATTGTAGACAGAGGTGGGTAGTAACCAGTTAAAAGTACTTAAGTGAAATGTTGCTGGATTTGTATTTTTCATATAATAATACTTAAGTACATTAGTGAGTAAATGAATCTACTTTTTACTCAGTTACATTTTTGTCATTCATATACATATTCATTTGTTTTTTGTGTATCATTTTATTAATTTTTTTTTAGTGACAACAGCTTCATTGCTTTGTGATTTGGTCACACTTCTGACTTTGGAACTTTAGCATTTTGTTTTACGCCAAAATAATCCAAAAGATATGTATTTTTACTTTTACTTCGGTCATCATTTTACCCAAGTAGAAATTCTTTTACTTGAGTGTGGATGTAGGCTACTCCACCCACTTCTGATTGTAGTTACTAATAGAGAACTTGCACCTTGTGATCTAAGTAGCCATGACTGTTCATAATAGGTTGAGTTCACCTAAGCTCTGAGGGGCATAGCCCTTTAGAGCTTTATACTGTGTTTCAACAACAGTTTTTATGATCAATGTAGAATTTGGCGGATAGCCAGTGTATTGTTGATAACCTCGGGCTAATATGGTCAACTTTCAAGTTATTGCAAGGACTCGGACTGCAACATTTTGGGCTAAATGAACGCAGATTGGACTTTTAAGACATTAGCAAATACTTTGGAAACCTCTTTGTTCCTGGAAGAGCTTGTAAGCCAACAATCTCTGGCTGATTGCCCCACTTCCACCGTGGAATCTATTAATTGCCATTGGTAGAACTATAGTTTACAAAAGAGTTGGGTCTGACTGTCAGTACAGAAAGAGTTTAAAAGTCTTGGCCAGCAGACAACCATATGTAACCAGTTACAAGATGGCAAATGTGTTTCCTGCATAACTGGTCTAGACTGTCTATGTTACTGCAAAGTGAATACTTTGTCTGAATAAATTAAATTAATACAAAAACCTCTTTCTTCTCTTCTGTCCGCAGAAACTACACCAATAAATATCTACCTGGAGATATCACAGTGAGCGTGTCTCATCGTGACCAGAACTCAAGTAAGTCCCTGCACAAAAAGACTCCAAAGCTGAGAATGTTTTGACTAGATTATATTCAGTGGCCTCAGAGACAGTGAGAAGTCGTCAGGGTAAAGGAGTCTTTCGCTGAACTATTTATAACTGTAATGCCAAAAAATTAAGTATACTTTTTAATGTATTGTAATGGATAACTAAACACATTTAGGACAGTTTATTCAGTTTTCCGCCATCACTACTTTTTAAGAATTTTGCCCAACACTACTTACAATGTGATAGGAACCAATGGTTTTTAATAATATATAATATAGCAAATATAGCCATTTTGATTGAAATCAAAAATCACCAGTGAAATTGCACATGTCTTCTAAGTTTTTAAATGTAATGTTCATGGTAAAATAATGCTATGTCTGGAAAAAAATCACTATGCCATGAATTTTTTTTGTTTGTCAATGTTTTAGGCCAAAATATTATCTTAAAACTATTGTAAAACAGTGTCCCGTGAATCAGGCAACAATTTGATGTAATAGCTTTTAAAGGCATTAAAAACTTTAGACATCTGGTTCTTATCACCACCACTGTGAACAATTGTGACTCTGTAAGATTTTCTAGGATGGTGCATTTCAAATTGAGCCACTCTGAATGACTGTTCACAGTTTAACCATGTAACTGTGCAGAAATGTTTAAAAGTCAGTGAAAGCCCCCTTTAAATTAGCTGTGAATTTTAATTTAAAGAGGGCCCAATTCTTGTTTTTGCCTGGATCTGCCTCTGGCTGTAAGCTTAGGAATGTATTGCATTGTGGTGAATATGCCTGAAAGCAAAAACTGTTTAAACCTGTGCATGTGTGTGGATGTGTGCATGCATGTATGCGTAAAGGTACGAGTGTTAAGTGTGTTCCAGGACTAGACACACCCTCACCAGTTGGGTTCTATCTGCATGATAACTGGACATCACTGATGTGCCATGCCCAGTCTTTCCCCACAGCCAATCAGATTGCAAGATGCTTGAAAGACAAGCAGGTTCTGATGATGGGAGATTCCACACTGAGACAGTGGTTTGAGTACCTGCTGAAAACTGTCCCAAGTACGTCAAATACACAAGCACATACATAACTGAAAAAGTGATTTGCCCTTGTACATCATTTCCACTTGGATAAAATATTGTATATTAAAGCAATAATTTTGTCCAGCTTACTTTGGGCAATAATCATGCTGATGCAATAGATACTCACTGGCAACTTTGTAAGGAATGCCTGTAGACCTGCTCAGTCATGTATTTGTCCAATCAGCCAGTCATGTGAGTACTGCATAAAACTCTGCAGATACAGGTCAAGGGCTTCAGTTAATTTCACATCAAACATCATATTGGAAACTTGGACCAGGGTATTGTAGTGGCCAGACAGAGAGGCTTAAATATTTCAGAATCTGCTGATGTCTTGGGATTTTCATGAATTTCACCATCTCTACAGTTTATACAGACTCGTTTTGGAGATACAAGGTTTGTTCCGACAGCAGCGATATGTTAACTTCAGTGTGTAAACTGAAGCTTGGTGATCACTGGACTTTCCAGCAAGACAGTGATCCCAAGCATACATCCAAGTTAGGTTTTACACATGAGGAATGGGCAAAGATTACAAAAGAGAGATGTCAGATGTGCTTGTGAGCACCTACCAGAAGCATTTATTGGAGTTTAAAAGTGTCAAGGATGTGTTACAAACTACTGACTTTAGAGGTTGAATAATTGTACTATGTATATATATATATATATATATATATATATATATATATATATATATATGTATATATATATATTTACAATTGTTCAATTTATATATGTGCATATATTTATATACATACATACATACACCGGTGTAATGTTCACTCTGCATTTGAGACTTCAGACCTTCTTTTTACATAGTAATGCTACTACTTTTAATTTTAACAGAAAACCTTACAAAGAGCAGCTTTAACAACCTTCTTGTACCTTAGCTACGTTGTTTTTTACCACTGGGAGAAGAAATTTAGCCGTCCATGTGGTTCTGTCGTTTTTATATGATATCTCCTCATCCTTCTCTCTTTTTTCTAGCACTTAAGAAACTAAACCTTTACACCTCAGCCCAATCTGGACCGCTTGAGGCAGTGGACACAGGCAACAACATTCGACTGGTATGGAGAGCTCATGGCCTTCCAATACGGACATTTATGATCCCCCGTGCTGACTTACACTACATTGCCTCAGAGGTGGACGCTCTAGCTGGAGGTCAACACTCTGTCGTGGTCTTTACCATCTGGGCACACTTCACTACCTTTCCGCTGGCCACGTACCTAAAGAGGCTGGCTGGAATCCGCAGATCTGTCCTAGCCCTCCTCCAGAGGGCACCACAGACCCTCGTGCTGATCAAGTCGGCCAACATGGGCTACAAGGACATTTATGGCAGCGACTGGTTGTCATGGCAGCTGGACTGTGCATTGAGGATGATGTTTAGGGAGCTTCCTGTTGTGATTATTGATGTTTGGCAAATGACATCATGTCACTACTCACCAGATAACATTCACCCATCTCAAGAGGTGATACAGAATGAAGTAGATCTATTCCTCTCATTTGTTTGTCCAAGATGACAGACATATATGAAGACAGTAAACCGTGTATTGTGACAAAGTATTTGCCTCTTCCTGATTTTCTCCATTCTTACATGTTTGTCACAGTGAATGCTTTTAGGGCTTAAAGCAAAAAGTAACATTAGACAAAGAGAACTTTTTAAATACAAAACACATTCTTTCAATTATTCCATTCATTTTAGGAGCAAGATGCAAATCACCCCTTTTAGATCGAATAACTTGTTGCATCATCTTTAGCAGCATTAACTGCTACCATTATAACTGCTATTTGTTATCTTTTGAGGTCTTTTGAGCCCTGTATTCTTTGCACAATTGCTTTAATTCTGATTTATTGGTAGCTTTGGGGGCACTGCCACATTATCTCTGTTGGGTTAAAATCTGGATGTTGATTCATCCATGTTGATCATGTGGATTTTTTATTATTACCTTTGTTTAACCAGGAAAAATCTTGCTGAAATTAAAATTCTCTTTTACAAGAAGTGTCCTGGCCAAGATAGAAACCAATACATAACATATAGCACAACATAAAACAGAAAAACATATAAACAGTTTCTAATGTACATAAGCAGTACAAAGATGCATGCATGCAATCTCCGTAATGAATTGCTGGTTTTCATCTTCAGTTTATTCACCAAACCCAAAATATGCGGCTTAAAAGTCAAAGAACTTGATTTTCCTTTCTATTTTGAATCCCTTTCTTGCTGCAGGACCCAAGTAAGTTTCAGTTTCAGCTCATGGGCAGGCAGTCTATTTAAAGCCCCTGTCAACGTGGTTTCAAATGTTTGAAATTTAGTTTTAATAGTAAAGACATGCTGCAGAAAAAGTTTTAACCAGTTTCATAATCAAGAACAATATATAAATAAATACAATTTAATTAATACAAGATTAATGCTCCAGAAGTTTAGAGCAACAGGCTGCTAAATGCAAAATGCAGTGAAAAATGAAGAACAAACTGTCTAATGGTCATTTTAGATTTATAATTATATTTTGCAGCTAACATTGGAGAATTCAGGCTTTCATGAATTCATGGGGCTAATGACAGGTAGATCACATGCATATCGTATCCAATATTCAAATGCTCAGCACTAATGTTATGTAACATATAGATAGCTAGCTAACTGCTGGACCATGCTTCAGTTCACACAAGCTCCCATTATAAGTAAGCACTGTCACGTTTGTGGACACTGTGGAGAAATTTCTCATGTGCCATGTTGCACACCACACCTGAAAAGTACAATTGTGGTGAGACACTGTAAGCCTTAATATTAGGGGGGTAGCCAATGTAATACTACCCTGCTTTATCAATTAAACTTGATTAATTTGTGGCTTGAATAAATACAGGGGCAATTACCCTTTCTACTGGGCGATTCACATGTTGGATAAATTTGTTCCTTTAATAAATGAAATAAAAATGTAAAGATTTTGTAACGTCAGTTGTTCTTTGGACCCCAGAAGGGATGAATTTGAATTTTTTGTGAGTGTGTCGAAAGAGTATTCAAAAAGAACTTCAAAAAAGTCAAAGTCAAAGTCAAGCTTGCTGAAGGACGTGGCTTTGGAGGATGCGAGTGAATTATCTACTATTGTCATCATGAAATTGGTGCCAAAACCCAAGAGATTTGCTGAGGACCTGGGGGACCATCACAGCCGAGGTACAAGGTGACTGCCTCTGGTAAGCCAGGGTGTCTGCCTTTGGTGAAGCTTTGTGTCACTGCCATTCGTAGTAGCAGTCTGGCCGAGTACAGCGCCCCTAGCCTGAACGAGCACAGTCTTGGAGCCCGGATGAGAACAACCCCAATTACAAGATTCAAAGTGTAAGCTGCACAAGTGATTTAAGGTGCCAATGCACGTATGAGCCACATAGATGACCCTTTAGAAGCCTGAGAGTACTCACAGTGAGGGACAGAATTAAATGAGTGAAAAGGCCTAAAATGTATGAATGAGCATGATTTCATGTTGTCCGTGATAAGAATAAGGGGAAGAAATTTTGTACTAATTATAATTAAGATTTAGAAGCTTTATTACAATCGCAATAATAATAAGAACATTCAGGTTAACCTATAATAACAATAAGTTTATTGAAATATTATAAGAAATATTATCATACCCTATTAGGAATAAGAGTTACAAAAGCAATGTACATGCAGCCTGGTTTGTAGAATATTATACTACTATAATCCGAAGGCACCATTTGATTATTCCTGGTGCAGTTTGGTTCAGTTTAACATTGAGCATAATATCATTTGGACAACACAACCTGTTGGGATATAGAAAAAATAGGAATAGTCAAATCTTATAGAGACAGATGGTAAGTAAAGAACCATTGTTGCATCTTGTGAGCTATAAACTATTGTCTTTGGTATCACTTAAGGCTGTAAAAATAATATTGTTCGACCGAAGAGCAAGATACAGAGGGTTATACTTATTTCATGCAGGTAACACCAAAAAATAACATTACAGATGAACAACTAGCGATGCCAGTAGTCTCTGTTAGGTGCATTTATTGTAAAACTGGTTGGTGGAGAAACTAGTGGATGACTGGATTAGTGAGTAAAAGTAGAGGGAGAGTAAAAGTATTGGAACGGGGAAACGTAAATTTACTGTGATGAACCATAGCTGACTAAATATATTAATAATCCCTTAAATCAATCTGTACAGAGTAGACTGGAACCAACTGAGATTAAATTTATGAACTAAACAAATGGGGGATAGATTATTAAGAGAGACTTAGGGAATTCATACACATTTCTGGCTTGAGTGAACTTAAAAAGATTTGGAGAGAAAAAACTTTGGCAATCAAATGAACTAATTAATGAGAAATTGTGGTCATTAATTAAGTGGGATAATTTGGAAGATGCAGAAATGATCTTTTTCCTTATCACAGATTACAAGAGAGAATAAAACAGATTTGGATGGAGAAATTGTTAAATCTGGTACTGACGGTTTTGCTTACTGCACAGGTGACCTCTGAGGCCACACTAGATTCAACAGATCTGGGGATAAGATTAAGAACTGAGCCAGTGGGACATCTTGACATTGATGAGTGCAGTAGAAGGTGTAGAGAATTGAAAGTTTGAGTTTGAGTTGCTAAATATACAGTAGACTCTCAGAAATAAAGGTACAAAACTGTCACTGGGGCAGTACCCCTCTTGTCACAGAGATGGTACCCTCAATGGTACATCTCAGTACCTGCACAGTACCTTTATTTCTAACAGTGTAGAGTGGGAAAGAAGTTTGACCAAGTCTGTACTGGTAGACAAAATAAATCACTAAACCCTGAATATCATAGAAAAGCTCCCTGCTGTAAAGCAGAAACAGTACAAAAGTAAAGGCAGATCTAGACTGAAGTGAGTTAATGTTTTTTTTTCTTGTAGAGAGACAGAGAAAAACAATACATGGATTTTATAGATTTTATATAGTCAGTCATGGAGAGCAATAATGAGTAGAAGAAGATATATGGTACATTTCTTTGCAAAAAGACAATTCATTGTGGACAGAAGCTCTAGGTAGAAGACTAAATTGCATGATCCCTCCTCGTGTTATTGAATTAACTGAACAACATCCACTAATTGGAATACTTAAAGATCACCCAGAGTTAGAGGCTGTAGTTATATATAGTATAGTTGAAGGGCATACAACAGCACTTGTTAGAGAACAACATATCACCACATTACATGCAAAAGTTCATAAATTTCTGCCAATAAAGAGATAGAGCATTGTATACTATATCTCTTGTCAGTTCAAACAGGAGAGAATTGTTCTTGTATTACTGCAATCAAGCGAGTGTATAATGTGGACATTAGGGTGAATAACTGTCAATATCAATGCTGTATGAGGGTTTAGTAGAAACTGTAGTCTCAGTTTACTTGGCTGGACATTTGGTCGTCTCATCCCAATGTCAAACCAAGGTATGCAATCCATCATAGACATTTTGACACAACAGCCTCATCTGCCTAGGCACTTAATAAGACGGTGCTTGGACAAAAAGGGAGAAATGTAAAAGAGACAACCAAGAATGGTTTTATATATACTTTTTCATTTCTCCCACTCAATTCTGGACAAAGAAGACGAGCTGAAAGCTAATTTAAAATCATTTCATTACAGAAGCACCTGTCATTACATAGGCATGGTTATCCTGCCAATAATCTCATAACCATTGTCAAAGGCAAAGTACTGAGTGAATATACTCTAGAGGTACAACAACAATTCCAAAAAAAAGCTGTGTAAAATGTAAATAAATGTAAATAAAAACAGAATGCAACAATTTGCAAATCTCATAGACCCATATTTTATTCACAATAGAATACAGAACACATATTGGATGTTGAAAGTGAGACATTTTACCATTTCATGAAAAATATCTCCTTTAGGACTTGATGGCAGCAACGCATCTCAAAAAAGTGATAATTATGAGAAAGTAAGTTAACAGACTTGAAGTTATAATTATGATATCCTAAGTCATAATAATGATAAAATAAATTATAATTATGAGATACAAAACTATGTTTATGAAGTAAATCGTCATTATTATGAAACGCTAAGTCATTACTATGAGATGCAATGTCATAATTATGAGGTACCACGTTTTAAGTCATTATTATGATTATTATAACAAAATAAGTCAGAATTTTAACAAAGTATCTCACTGATAGTTTCTTGTGAAATGTTAACTCATTATAATGAGATAGCAAGTGATAAATATGAGGTGCTATGTCATAATTATGAGATACTCATAAGTAAAGGTTATTTTCTAATTATTACGACTTACTAAATGGCTATATTTTCTCTACTGGCGGAAACGGGCTTCCATATGAAAAAAGAATTTAAAATAAAAGATAAGAGCTTGCATCAAACCATAATGGCGTCTATTTGCACGTGTCATCCAGTCCTGCAGGGGTGGAGGTGCGTAAGCCACACGACGCTCTTAGAGTTCAGAAAGTGCAGTGAGGAAATGGTTGCCGTGGCAACGAATAGGCGCTCCGCTTTTACCGCCGCTCCGGATGTTCTGATGAAAATCCTGATTGCGGGATCAATTTTGCAGAAACTTTGTGATGGGCTTGTTAGCTAGCTAACTAGTTCAGAGAGCAGCGTGGTGAGCGTAACTAAACCTGAAGCTTTTAACGTAGCGATGTTAGTCTGTCGCCGTAACCCTTTTGTGATGTTAGCGAAGTTAGCTAACCTAGCTAACCTAGCTAGCTGAGAATGATCAAAGTCGTCTCTATGGGGTGCGCTTTATTATGCACCTAGAACGCTTAGCTAGCTGGTATGTATTGGACTTTAGAAGGCTAAGCTAGTGTGCATTTGTGTTCTAACAATAACACTGAGCTGGTGCGCACTTTTGTCCTAGAACGCTTAGCTAATGCATACTTGTGACCTAGAAGTCTTAACTAGCACATAGTGTGCACTTGTGTTCTACCTAGAGCGCTAAGACAGCTAATGGACAGCGGCCTACGCAATCTGGAGATCCATCCAACAGAACGTCGATTAACGTTACCTTTCTTTATTCTTTAACTAGTCAGAATATCAAAGTACGACACAAAAGCCTTATCTTTATGAGGACACAGATGACGCTAAGCCAGAGCAGATGACCTTAGGCGACGTTAAGAAGTGTAATTTAGTTGGCAGTTTGCTCCATTGGTGGTTCTTAGACCGGGATTGACTGGTATTGATTTGAGATGACGGTGATAAACAGCCTTGTACCAGCTCGGTTTCTCACGCTCACCGCACACCTTGTCATTGTCATCACCATCTTCTGGTCACGGGTAAAACTTTTTTTATGCCTGTTACGGAGTGACTAAGCCCCTAAGGTGACGTGGTGATTATGTTTTCATAAGACGTGGCCACGAAATACCATATTAAGGCCATAAGTTAAGTCTCTCATAGCTCCAGGCCTTAATATATTTATTTATGGTCTGCATATAGTTAGTTAATTGTGGCCTCAATATGGTAATTTGTGGCCTCAATATAGTAATTTGTGGCCCCAAAGAGCCTCATTCACCACTTGTTCTTAAGAAGAAATTGCTTCTTAAAACCAATTTACACACGTCGCACAAAGATTCTGACATTCACCAATGTTTTCTTTTTTGAGATTTTCCTTGGGTAAGAACAGTGTCTACGCACACACAAGCACAAAGGAACGAACAATTCGGTTTAAGAACACATCATGAATCTGACATAGACATTTTTTTAGGACTTTTCTCAAGAACAAATAAAAAAAATTAACTTTATAATTAGTTGTATTGTACTAAACATTAGCCCATTATTAGTAATGGGCGGCCTCAATATATTAATTTGTGGCCATGCCTTATTAAAAAATAATCACCATGTCATCTTAGCGGCTCCATTAAAAGGCAACCTTAATGTGGTGAATTATAGTCTTGTCAGTTCACAGTGTTTCTGTTATGTTTTACAGGACAATAATGTTAGGGCCTGCTTGCCTCTGGACTTTACTGAGGAAGAGTACAGATCTGAGGACACCCGGTAAAAAAATTACACAAATATTAAGGACACACTGATCTATATTTTGTAATATATACTTGTTTTCTAAGTAAACATATTACCACATCTCTCTCTCTCGTTCTGTCTGTCAGGTTGGTTATAGCTCTATCTGTAACTCTGGGCCTGTTTGCTGTCGAACTGGTTGGATTCTTCTCTGGTGTCTCTATGTTCAACAGTAACCAAGGACTCTTGTGTATCCTTACTGCTGCTGCCTGTGCAGAAATATGCAGCATGTAAAGTTTGTAGATGGCTGCCTAAAGTTTCTTCCGAAATCAGCTAATAAGGAGTCTGCACGTTTGTTGCAGTAACAGATTATACTTTACTGGGAAGGCTTTACAGTAGGTGTTGGAACATTACTGTGAGGATTTGATTGCATCCCGACAGATGAGCATTGGTGAAGTCAGGTACTGATGTTGGATGGTTAGTTCTAGATCACAAATGCCACTCCAACTCATCTCAAAGAGATTAGTTGGCGTGCCACCAGAGAATGCACTGCTACTGCTCCACAGCCCAATGCTGAGGGACTTTCTACCCCTTTAGCAGATATTTGGCATTGGGCCTGGTAACTTTAAGCTCATGTGCAGCATGTCATGTCATGAACAGTCTGATTGTGAACACACATTCAGAATAGGTTTTGTAACTTGGTATCTTGTAATAATGACTTACTAGTTAAATATAACTTCTTTCAAAATATTAACGTTTCAGTGTCAAAATAATTATTATAATTATAGGAATTCATAATAAGAACATATTATACTGGCATAATTACTTTCTTGAAATGTAATAACTCATTATTTTAGCGAAATCTCAAAAGGTTACTACTTTGAGATATTAAAAGGGAATTTTTCAAAATTTCTATGTAATTAATTTGTTAAGATGTAGACAAAGTCATTCAGAGTGGTTTGATGAAAAATGCTCCATCCTAGAGAATCTTACAGAGTCAACACTGTTCACAGTGGTGGTGATAGGAAGCAGACGTCTGAAGATTTTAGTACCTCTAAAAGGTAGGGACCACAGGAAGCTATTACATAAAAGGGCTGATCCCTGTGACATCGTTTTACAATAGTTTTGAGAAGGTTTTTCTTTAGATTGCATATATTTTCAAATCAATTCATGGTGTAGATATAAAAGTAGGGCATTGGAAGGCAAAATAGTGGCCAAAGAAAACTTTTTTGCACTGCAGACATCACAACCCCTGTTCTTATCATTGCTGCTGTCATGAAATCCAAGTCGTTAAGTTTCTCTACAATGAACCACTTCACATCAAGCATCAAACCTCAATCAAATCAAATCTGAATCAAATTAATTACATCTCGACAATATCAATATGAGGAAAATTTGAAAAATTCTGCTTTGAGTCATTGAGTATTTTATGTCACAGCAAGATCCCCTTTTTTTCCACAATGTGCCTAAATCTACATTGAGCTCCCATGTTTCCATACGGAATGTAATGTCTGCACATATCCGGCATGTTTTCTTGACCCCCTTTCCAGCTGTGGCAGCTCACTGCAGCGCCTCCGTCAGTCTGTCCTTCTTTGTCTTCCAACAGTGGGAATGCTGGACCTACTGGATAATTTTTGCCCTCTGCAGGTCAGTGGCCCACACATGACAACCCTGTTATCTGCGTCTTTGCAGTAGCCCTAAATTAGCTTTCAGATGTTATGATGTCTGCAGCCCAGTTACTGAAATGGTGATATAATGCACAGCAAATGCTCTTAAACCTAGACACGTATTAGTAATATAAGGCCTAAAACCTCTCTCTCTCTCTCTCTCTCTCTCTCTCTCTCTCTCTCTCTCTCTCTCTCTCTCTCTCTCAGTGTGATTCCTGCACTCTGTGAGCTGGTTCAGATTGTTGCAGTGCTTGGTCTGAAGAAGAAACCGATGTGAATGTTGCCTTTTCCTGCTATTGTTCATGTTCCTCATGTAGACCTCATCAGGGTTATTGGATTAGGAATTACACATGACCAGAAGGTTTTCAGAGTTTGGCTTTGAAAACCTGTCAAACCAAAGTGGGATATTGTTTGAAGAGATATACAGTTGGCAGTTGGGACCTCTGGAAAGAATTATCATGAATTTTGTTAAATTCTCTGAATGCATATTTTCCACAATTGGAGTGCATTGGCCAACGGTTGGCAAGGTGGTTATATAGACAACTTTGTAATGTTTTAATGATGAAATTGTAAAGTTTTAATCATTTGTGTCCAGGAGTTTTTGTTTTGTTTTTGGAAATAAATAAAATAATTTCACTACTTTCTCCAGTACAATTTTATTTGTAAGTGAAGATTGATTAATCTAATACAAACAAAGTACTATTTCATAATGATTATCAAGATCCTGAATAAGATCATCAATTTATTATTATATGTTTGTTGTTGATGTTATATAGTATATAAACATACTGCTACTACTACTAGAAATAACTAATAACTAATCATTATTATTATTATTGTTGTTGAAAAAAATGACGTAAATCGCTGAGAGTGACCACTGGGCAGCAGAAGAATAATGACAATATGGTCCAGAGTGAAACGCGAAAAGAAACCAATTAGAAGCATGAACTGACTAAACCGGTCGGAGTGACGGGTGAACTGCGTAAACCAATCAAAAAGAAGCACGAACTGACGCAGCCAATCAGAGAGCAGCAGAATCGGGCTGGGCCAATCGGAGAACAAAAGTGTCGGTGGTTGGTTTTTAAATTGTTGGCGGTTGATGGAGGAAGGAACAACGGGCTGAGCTCTGCAGCGCTGCTTTAGATAGAGATTTGCAGGGTTTTTGTCGGATTTCAGTCTGTCTATTATTGGAAATATGCAAGTGAGTTCATTTAATTTTATTAAGCATCTTAGTTTAAGAAGAATCTTTGTAGTCTCGACTGAGTTTATTAAAGCAGGCATGAGGTTGATGTAAGTAACTTAGCTAGCTAGTTAGCCAGGCAGCCAAAGAAGCCAACGATACATGCTATAGTTAGCTAGCTATAAACACTATTTTAACCCTAAATAAGTGTTTTGTAGAGGTGATATTTGACTTGTATGCCTTTATTGACCAGAATTTCCGAACAATGTGGTTTTTGTTGTTGTTGTTAACCACTAGAAGTAACGTTAGACATTACCTTCGGGTCTTTTCATAGGATGAGATTTGAAAGCATTTTTGAGATGCTAATAGCTAACGTTAACGTTACGCTTGCTATTTGCTGTTTTCAGAACAAAGAGAACCGCGACCCCAAAAGCCTCCTCGCACAGGTAACGGATTAAGGACTTTTATAAGAAAATGATCTGAAGCGGTTTATACCGAGTTAGACAAATGCCTTGCGGTAGAACAAATACACAGGCCCTGTCTCCCCACACACACGAGCCAAAAAATGGACCTAATGTCACCTAAAAACCCTTTAGTTTGGGTTTAGTGTGTGTCTGATTAGTTTCCCTGTGTTATTTATTACTGTGTAATGTAAAGATGGGAATGATGTAGCCAGGTATGCATATACAGTAGTGTTGTTAGTTCAGCTAACTAACTTTATTTGGCGTTGTTAACTTTAGCTGTGTTGTTTTGCAAATGGAGTTAAAAGGGAATGCCAGTGTCCACTTAATTTAAAAGGCAGACTCCATCGGTTTATTCAAAAGTTCTACATAATTAAACGATTGAAATATAAACAAAGTCAGTCAGAGTGGTCCGATGTGAAATGCTCAGTTCTAAAGGAATTAGTCAGGATTATTCACAATGGTGGTAATAGGAACCAGACATCTGAAGAGTTTAATAACTCTAACCTTAAAGCTCCTTCACAGAAAGTTATTACATGAAGTATTTAGTAATGCGCTGCATGATATTTTTGTGATGAATTTTTGGCCTGAAGTGTATTTTAATGAATTTAATCCATTCAAGGCGGAGGAGTACATGCAGGGTGCTGTTTTGGATAGTAAATAAAATGGCTATACATGCATTGTAGACATTACAACCCCTGGTTCCTTTCACTAAAATTGTAAAGAAATCAGATTGCACAAGTTTCTCTGCAACAAACCACTCTGAATGACCGTTTATATCTCAAGTACTGAAATTTTGAAATATTGGTGGAAGTCCCCTTTGAGATGCAAATAGTCATTCTGAGGAGTTTGATGTTAAATGATTCGATTTTCAAAATTATCCAATCAGAATTGTTCACCATGGTGGTGATGGGAACCACTGGATATGTAATGCCTCCAAAGGCTGCATCACAAAGTAATGGCACAAAATGAAAACAACTTTGCTTCCAGATGCCTTACACTTTATTTGTATCATGTTTCTGAGAGAATTTTGGTCTAAAACCTATTTTTTAAAAGACATTCGTTACAGAGACTTCTATGCGGGATGTTGAAAGGCAAAATAGTTCCTAATAAGACTGTGTTCTTTCAGATTTACCATTAATTTGCTGCTGTTAGCATCACATATAAAAAAAACTTTGATTTGTAGGGTCTTTGTTTTGAATAGTAAATAAAATGCACCATTTCACATTATAGTGCTCTGAGTGACTTTGTTTTCATGTCCACCATTTAAAAAAGAGGGAAAAAAAGATGCAACAGACCCTGCAAGGTTTTATTTGAATGAAGGATTGTGTTATAACCTTACTGAACCTATCTTTCACAGACTGCAGTGGTCGGACCCCTCAGAGGACAGACGAACCCTGGTACAGAAACAGAAAGTATGGGTAAGTGCACACCAATTTTCCTGCCTTCTTTACTTTTAAAGTATAGATGCTCTTTACCACACAGAAATTGATGCTCAATAAGAGAGAAACACATCATTTTTCTTTCTTAGGTCCAGGCAGAGTCCCAGTGAAATCCAGCTCACCAAAGTAAGTAATCAATCTAGTATACTTCAGTTGTGCATTGATGAAATGCAAAGTTCACTTTCACCATCTCTGTTTGTTTGGCAAACCAACTTGAATTAATAGAATCAAAGCAGCTGTTTTGAATATTAGCTATGAATGAAATTACTGTATGTACACATTTATCCTGGCATATCCACATGTTGTAATTGCATTCTCTCTTTATTGCTGTAGGAAGTTTAGTCTTAAGGACTTTGATATTGGGAGGCCACTGGGTAAGGGAAAGTTTGGGAATGTGTATCTGGCGCGAGAGAAGAAGCTGAAGGTGATCGTGGCTCTGAAAGTGCTCTTCAAATCCCAGATGGAGAAAGAGGGTGTGGAGCACCAGCTCAGGAGGGAAATAGAAATCCACTCCCACCTCAGGTGTGTCTAAAAGTATATGAAATAGAAATGTAATATAATCTAGTCATCCCCTGTGGACTCTTCAAGTGCTTTATGATTGCCTGTTGTGGACAATGAACTGTTTTTTAATATACTTACTGTTAATTAGCCATTTCCGTTTATTGTTTTTCTTTTATGCTTTCTTTTGTTTTTTTGTTTTTTTGTTTCATTGATAAAACTTTATATTGCTCAGGCCCTAACTTGTACATTAGACCACAGTGACACTGATTTGAGACTATTATTGTCGTCTTCTACTGCCTCCAGTTGGATCAGTTGTGTTGGTCTGTGTGCAGGCATCCAAATATCCTGCGGTTTTATAACTACTTCCATGACTCGAAGCGTGTATTTCTGATTCTGGAGTATGCGGCACGTGGAGAGATGTACAAAGAGCTGCAGCGCTGTGGACGCTTCAGTGACCAGCGAACAGCCACGGTAAGACATTCTATTCATTTTTTTTTTTTAAATAAATTGCTGTTCCTGCCGTTAACTAACTAGCACTTCACTTGAACTGGCTAGGAAAAGGCTTTTCCTCCTTGGTGTTGCAACTGATGCAAGTTTTTGCTGTATTGGACTGTGTGCATTAGTTCTGTCTGTGTGTTTTTGCAGTTCATGGAGGAAATTTCAGATGCACTGCAGTATTGCCACGAGAACAAGGTGATCCATCGGGACATAAAGCCAGAGAATTTGCTACTAGGTTTCAGAGGAGAGCTCAAGATTGCTGACTTTGGCTGGTCTGTCCATGCACCCTCACTAAGGTAAACTGCAGCCAGTAATTCTCATTCTGCTTTAGTCCTTAATCTACACTGTTGAATCTGGACAGCCAAAATAGTTATGTTGTTCCCCATATGGTTACTTTTTACAGTGTTAGGATCTATAAAATGGCTCCTGATTTTTAATACATTTGGCAACTTTGAAAAGTTTGCCACTGGTTACTGTTGATTGCTCATGTGCAGAGCAGTCACCATTGATTATTGATTGTTAATTGTTTTTAATTAAGTAATTTTACATTTTTAGATGTATTTTTCATTAATTGAGGCTGGTAGGAGAATTACTAAATCATTGCTGATTTATTATAAAGGTATAAATCTTATTAACGGCCTTGCTTTTGTTCTGCTGTTACGGATGCCTGTGGTCCAGCAGTGTATCTAACACAGAAGCAGATTTTAGTATTGATGTGCATATGTGTGTTTCTAGGCGCCGAACCATGTGTGGTACTCTGGATTACCTTCCACCTGAGATGATTGAGGGCCATTCTCACGATGAGAAGGTGGATCTGTGGTGCGTCGGTGTGCTGTGCTACGAGTGTCTAGTGGGGAACCCTCCATTTGAGACAGCCAGCCACTCAGAAACATACAAACGCATTACCAAGGTATGTGTGAAGAGGGTCTTTTGCACATTTATTCTTCACTGAACGAAGGACAAAATTAATATTTTAGTATCACAATAGACTGTCTTAACCAAACCCAGGGTTGTTAAATGGCTCACATCGATTTTGTGATGACCAAATTGGCCAAATCATTTGCTGTTTCACAAATAAAAATTTGAATTACCTACTTAAATTACATTAATTAAATAAGTGCTGTGTTGAAAGTAAGTGGCAACTGGCTATTTAACACAATGAGACATGCACAATTATGCCTTAATATTTTGGCATAGATGTAGAAACAGCAGCTGTCCAATACAGCAAGTGCACTTACCTGGCTCACAATTTGTCATAAAATTGCAACACAGACTGGCCAAAATCAAGATACTATATTTTGTTTGATTGCCAATTACTTGCCTGGAGCAAAAATCTACTGATTCCAGTCATGCATCCCTAATATTATTTAATATATAAATAGATCAGGTGAAGGTATGCGGTTGAGTCTATGTTGCTGCAGTTTTGTTTAGGGTAGGTTTATAATTAGGCTTCAGGTTGCAGTTATGATATTAGGTAATGGACTATAATTAGATATTGACTGGATAGACTTGCCGTTAGAGCGGAATTGTCTCTAAGTCTAGAGGTGTCACAATACCACTTTTTATATGCAACTGACACAACTAAGTCTTAAAATGAGCTCTTTTAGTTGAATGATTTTGCTTGATCTGACCATCTAAAAGTACCATGCTACATTACATAGCTATTTATAGTATGACTTAATTCACATAATCTGTAACATGGTATTCAGAATTGAACAGTGTTTTGGAGCAAGAGAAAACTGAAAAATGCAACATGGAGACCTGTGTCACGAAGCATCTTCCAATTATTGTACCAAGGTTTTGTGAAGTTGACACTTAGTGAGAAATCCTAACAAATGCAAGCAGGAATATTTTTTCATAGTGGTAGGTTAATACAGAAAGTTGTTAACTAGGTTCAGATACTCCAGCTGTGATTACTAACTGCTAACTGTAAAAGGTAAATCTTTCGCTACCAACACTGTTAGTGCTTATTGGATTAACAATTGCTTCATATCCTTGATATGCATACATGTTTTCTTTTTATTTATTTTTTATTTTAACATCATTGACAAAGGTGGGGGAAAGAAAGTGAAACGAAAATCTACTGGAAGGGTCCCTTTTCATTAGGAGGCTGTGCCTGATTGGTCAGCAGATCAGCCCTGATTGATCTAAGAGCTGTATAAGATACAACCTGCCCTAGAGCAGGTTAGACATGCAGTATAAGTTGCTATAGTGATGAATATCCGGACACACTTTGTTTCCCATTAAAACTATACACACCAGATGCAACACAATTTGGAATTTTGCAGTGTTATTGCCCTGAAAAAAATAGGCAGAATATCTAGCAAAAAAAGGTATCCTTTGCTTTTTATGAAACAAGTGAACTATGGCGTAGCACAAGATGTTTTTACTTTGCAAAATGTAGAGTTTTTGCAGCTCATTTCAGGAGTTAGAACTTTGCAAGTGCTTTCACTGGCAGCTGGGATCTAGGATGCGCAAGAGTTGATTTGAGATTAAGCTCCACATGAGACAAAGCATAAAACAAACAGCCTGAATGTTTAAGTGTAAATAGGATCAGATTTTTTGCCCCCCACAAAACGACCAAACGGAAGAACTGGACTATTTTTCTGTTTTGGAAAAGTGAAAGAAGTGCTTCATCGTTTCATTTAGAAGTTGAAACTTTGAATGTTTCCATATACAATTCAATGTTTGTACCTGAAATCGAGTCCTGTTTGGCTGCTTTTGTAGATGATCCATTTAGCATTTGTGAAGAAGTTTAAGTAGCTGATAGTCAGTTCGTCACCTTGGCTGTCCCAATATCAACAGCAGAAGTGACTGTGATTGGTCAGTGACTTCATGTCACGAGTGAAAGTTTGCAAAAAATGAATAAAATATTGCATTTTCATTGTCTGCAAACTAGTGTTTGGTGTGCAAGATATTGTTGGTTATATACATGCTCGTCTTAGTTAATAAATTGCGTGAATATACTGTATCTGGTGTGTAAAGGGATTACATACAAGTTTTGATTTGTATATGTGTAACATACAGGTATTTGTGTGTAACTGTGTTACAGGTGGATCTGCAGTTTCCTAAGGTGGTCTCAGAGGGTGCTCGGGACTTGATCTCCAAGCTGTTGAGGCATAGCCCCTCCATGCGTCTGTCTCTGAAGAACGTCATGGAGCATCCTTGGGTGAAAGCCAACTCCCGCAGAGTCCTGCCCCCTGTCAGCCAGCCAAAACCCACCCCTGCACACTGACCCTCTTCAAAACCCTTGACCCACAGTTGGCTCTCCTGCTCTAAAACACACTATGATACAAAGCATGAATGTGTAGCTTAGTGACCTAGCTTGCCACATGCTGCTGTTGGCTTGCTAATGTACAAATCAAGCTTTGTAGTTTTATGGTGAGCAAACTAGTCTTGGTTCAGGGATCCATATCAGGAATTCTAAGCCTATACCTTACAGTCAGACTCAAGTTTATATTATTCTAAATGAGTTGATTTTAAATTGGTTCAGTCAGGATTAGTAGATTTTGTTGAGTCTGGATGTATAGTTAAGGCTTTAATGCCTCATGTAGAAAACCGAAAAGCAGATTTCTGCAGTTTTTCTGTTGTACACTGTCTTTTGTGCACGATGCGCCCCTATGCATTGCCCATGTATTATTCTGTCTTCTTTGTCTGTCCTCTTTTTTTGGATGTTTTTTTCTTTTTTTCTGTAGATATTTTTAGAGTAAGATTGTGGTTTGAGTGGATGGTGCATTTTGGCATTTTAATTGATTGAATATATATTTTATCTTCAATAAAAAAATATTTGCAATCCGATAAGGACTTGAGTGACACTTTGTTGGTTTACCTTTGTAATAAGTTATTCCAGTACACTTGATTTGAAATGAGCCCATTTATCAATCCTATCAAAAAGTTTTTGTTTTTTTTTTGTTTTTTTTTTGTATATCTTGACTTTGTCCAATATGCTAGACATGCTGACCTGTTAGGACCATATGCAAAATTTCCATGATTATCAGGCCTTTTGTAAATACATGGTTGATGTTTTTTCAGTTCAGTTGTTTTTACTTTTTAATCCCTTTTTTTCCATGTATTTTTGGGTCTGATTGCACATTTTCACTCTGAAGTTTTTCACTGGTTACGACTGAGAATAAATTTTGTTTCGTTAACTTTGCTAAAATACATATTTGTTGAAAAGACAGTCATTGGTAAAACTCGTACTCACATAGCTGGGGAAAATTAGCTTCAATTGGTTTAACAGTGACAGTATAAACATCCAGACCATCTGCTTTATTTTAAGGGGCTTGATCTTAACATTGAGTCAGCCATATCTAGCTAGGAATAGCAGACCTTTTGTGATGGGGACATTGTGCCCTATTTCAGGAGACCAGATGTATACGTATAAGGTCACAGACATGCTTGTACTGGTTTTGTCTTGGTCTGAATATTTTACAATGGGATTCTACATAAAGTCAGTGATGCAAATAAACAGAAAATCCAAACCGTCACGGTGATAGGAGTCATAAACCGAACTTTCAGAATGATTTTCGAGGTAGCGTGGCCGAGCGGTCTAAGGCGCTGGATTAAGGCTCCAGTCTCTTCGGGGGCGTGGGTTCGAATCCCACCGCTGCCAATAACGTTTTTTTTCGTTCACAAAGCGATTTATGTTTACTAACTGTGATTAATTTCAACACGACGAAAATATATTATCATTAGGTTAACCACTCACGCCGGTCAGTTGTAGTGGCTTAAAAACGGCACCCATAGCTACATGTGCTTAATGCTCCTAAATCAGCCACCTGAACCAGATGTCTCAGACATAACCATGGCTAATAAATTCCACTATCAAACATCTTTTACACAAAAACTGACGTTATTACAGAAAACTATCAGAACAAAGAATGTTGAATGCAATTGTGTAGCTATATGTGCTCAAATCAAATGTTGTTTTTGCTTGTTTGAGTGTCTAAAAATGTATAGTTTTGCTCCTTCTTTAATATATTTGTGAGAAAGGAAATGTCTATTTTAGGCTTTTAACAATTATTTAACATAACATTTAGATACTAAATGATTTTCTGTGTTTAATTTTATTGGTTACGTTGGCGACAGAACCTGAACTGTTTACTCTGAGTTAAGTCTCACTTTTGTGGATTTATCATTATGTTTTTGAGTGCATCGCAAAGAGACGAACAGAGCCTAACGAACAGATGCAGGATATACTAAGAAGTTCTCCTGCGTTTCTAGGGGAAACTGAGTACTTAAATTGTCTTCTGACCTGCTAAATTTGTTTACGGGAATGTATTTTATACAGATAAGCGAACTGCTGCTCAGTTTAAGTGGAAAGGAAAAATCGAATAAGAGGCCAACTGAAGCCTCGTGTGCACACCCCTGCTAGCCAATAAGAAAACTTTGATTTTATTCGGTGAATATATGCCAAATTTAAAGTAACAGTAAAAAAACCCTAAAGTTTCACCCTGTAGCCTGTGATACTTTTGTGGGTGCACGTTTAAACCATTTTTCTGCGCTTTCGGCAGAGGGCGCTGTTCCCTCAGAAGCTCAGTCAGTGGCGCTGTTGTTCTCTTTCTTCGTCTGTGAACTCTGTGAACGATCAACTTCCGGAGCGCAGAAGGCGCAGACATGAAAACCTGTTCTCTGCTGCAGCTTCGCTCAGTCTGAATGAAAACATAAGAACCGTTAGAAGCTGCGTTTTTAATCATTTCAGTGTCCCAGATGGCTGGTTTACCTCCCGGAGACCCGCAGCTGGTCGCTATGATCGTGAATCACCTGAAAACACAGGGACTGTTTGACCAGTTCAGGAGGGACTGTCTGGCGGACGTCGATACAAAGGTACTGAGGTTACTGTCTGCAAACACATTTCAGCGGTTAGAGAGCAGGAATTACAGAGGAGAAGAAGGTTTAGATTTGCAGCCAGTTTTAGGCAGTCTGTGAAAACGGGTGGCGACGGATAACCTATTATTATTATTAGTGTCCTGAGATGTTCACTACAAGCCATACATTTAGGCTGCTGCTGTGTAGCTGCTAAAACATTTTAACCTGATAATGTCCATTTCTGAAATGTAGTTAGCTAGGTTACAGTTTCTTTTGCTCTGTATGTTCTGTGCCTGAGCCCAAATCTGAAGAAGGTTTGAAAATGATCCGTATGTCTAAACGGTGAGGTATTACTTGTAGTCTTTTGATCACATCTGAATACTCATTTTTAACAGAACAATAGAGAATCTATTAATAATAAAAATATAATACTTATTTGTAATAAAATGTATTTATTAGCCAAGGCACAAAGTATGTTCAAAAGTTTGTGAATACCTGCAAGGGTAATAATGGGGACTCATTCTCAGCACTGAAGTGACACTGACGTGGTAGTGGGTGTTGTGCTGGTACAAGTGGATCAGACACAGCAGTGCAGTCTTTAGACACTCCTACTTTGTTGGTCCACCTTGTAGATGTAAATTCAGAGACGGTAGCTCATCTGTTCCTGCACAGTTTGTGTTGGTCATCCTCCAGTCCTTCATCAGTGGTCACAGGATGCTGTTCACTGGATATTTTTGGTTGATGGGCTATTCTTAGTTCAGCAGTGATACTGAGGTGTTTAAAAACCTTTGGATGTGTAGTGCATAACTGTAATATACATCACTTTAGGCCAGTCAGGACAAGTTATGTGGCATTTAGTTGATCATAGACAGCTAAATGATGTTATTGGGCAGAGCAAAGGAAATGAATGGGTAAAGGCATACCTATGATTTTTTTTTCTTTGATTGATATTTCATGTGTATGCTCTTTTAATGTACGATATGCAAGAAAGTAAATTTTCCTCCCATAAGCTTTAGCTGGGCACAGTGTCTCAGTATTCCTCAGCAGTTGTGCTTTTATATCCAAGATATGCAAAGTTCTTATACAGCAGGACAGATCACACGTAATCTGATCCCTGGCCTGGCACTATTTTACTGCTCGACGTTTGTTTGAATGTTGCGTGTAGTGTAGTATTTCTGTACTTAGGCTAGTTGAGCTGTTGTAACACATGAACAATGTGGCTTGGCGTTGTCATGTTGAAAAAGACAATGTCTAAAAGGCAGCATATGTTGCTCCAAAATGTGTTCAGCATTAATAGTGCTTCCACAGATGTTCAAGTCACTCCCTAAGACCCTCCTTCAATGACAGGCTCTGGCTTTTGAACTTTACGCTGTTAACAGTCTGGATGGTTCATTTCTTCTTTGGCCCAAAAAACATGACCTCCATTATTTCCATAAACAGCCTGAAAGGTTGACTCATCAGAGCACAACACAAGCTTCCACTGTGCATTAAGCCCATTTTGGATGAGCTTGAGGCCAGACAATTTGGCAGCGTTTCTGGATGTTGCTGATGTGTAGCTTATACTGTGCATAGTCCAGTCCATCTTGCATTTGTGGATGCAGCAAAGAACAATGTTTATTGGCAACAGTTTGTCAAAGTATTTCTGAGCACATGTGGTGATACTTATCACAGACGCATGCTGGTTTTTAATGCAGTGCTGTCTAAGGGGTTGACAGTCATGGGCATTCATTTGTGGTTTTTCAGCCTTGTGTTTATGCATAGAGATTTTTCTTGACTATCTGAAAATATAATTCAGATGGTAGTGTATAAATAATGTCAATTCACTGTTTTTGTGTTTGGAATTGGCGATACAATACAGTTCTATGCCCCGTGGAGAGTTATGGGTGGTAGTTAAAAAGCATGGATTTCACCAATAAAAAAAATGTTGAAACTCTGAGAACTGGAATCCTTTAAGGATCTAACTACTATCTAGGTGTTGGCTAAAAACAGAACTTATTAATACAGCTCACTGATACTGATGGCGAATGTAACTTATGTATTGTATTATACTTATGTGTTGTATTTTATTTTAAAACTTTGTTTTATTGTTTCCAGCCTGCATACCTACACCTGAGGCAGCGAGTGGACAACTTTGTGTCTAACCATTTGTCCAACCACACCTGGAGCCCCCAGTTGAACAAGAACCAGCTGCGCAACAGCATCAGACAGTTGGTGCTGCAGTAAGTTTGTTCCCCTGACGTCCAAGTGGTTCTTATGACACTGAGGATCTAGGTGTTTGCCCTTGATTCCTGAGTGTATTATGTGAATAAGGGTGTTCTTTTTATTAGCTACTTCTGGGCCAATTTGCAGTTTAGTGGATTCCAGTTCTTCGCATGAAGTGCGTCAAACCCCACACTGTCGGGAAAACCCTGACACTTTCCGTCCTTATGTAATCAATTCTCAAATCTCTTTGATTACTTAACTGAGTTTGATTAATCCATCTAATCAAACTGTTATGATTTCTGTGTTTTTATATTACTTTGCCTTCATTTCAGTAGCCAGTTTTTTGATTTTATATTTTTATAATTTTATCCTGGTTAATGGGGATGGCTGTAGTTGTTTATTGTTTGTCTTCTGTGGTGCAGGTCAGGCATGCTGGAACAGGGTGTGGACCGCATCGTGGCTCAGGTGGTCGATCCTAAGATACACCACACATTTCGGCCACAGGTGGAGCGGGTCGTCAGGCAGTTTCTGTCTCCTGGCAGCCACATGGAGGAGGAGGAGCCTCCGTTTGCTCCTGGCCCATTTGTGGAAAAACAAGAAGCTCAGCTGCCATCTCCAGGTAACAGCACAGACGTGGTGGACCTAAGGCAGGCCAACGCAGAACTGATTAGTTATCATAATAATAATATATTGTTACTGAGATCAGTAAACAAGATTAGTAGGAGCCTGTTTACACTTCAGGCGTCTTGGGCTGATCTTGGATTATTTGCTCCTTAAGTTCTTATAAAAGCTATGAAAGCGTTTGACATAATCTCAGGAGATTCCTGAAGACAGTTCCTTCTGTTTGCATATGTCACAGGCACTACACAAATCAGATTTCTGTTTGTCTAACAGAGTCTCATTTAAAGGATAATTCCACTGTTTTTTCTGCATAATTAAATCACTTAGACAAAACAAAGTCATTCAGAGTGGTTTGGTTTGAAATGGTCCATTGTAAAGAAACTTACTGACTCACATTTGCTTAAAGTGGTGATAGGAACCAGGGGTCACAATGTCTAAAGCAAAAGAAATTGTAATTTTTTTTGCTACCCACCAGTGAACCTACTCATGTCTTCTGAGTTTTTATGTGTGTTGTTCATGATGGTAAATCTGAAGAAAAAAAAAAACAAAACAAAACAATGTATGAGGCATCATGCAATGTATTCATAACCCTTTCATGTACTAATTTTAAAAGTTTTGAAGCTTTTAGAGGAATAAACTCTTCAGATGTCTAGTTCCTATAACCACCCCTGTCTTGGTTTCTCCAGAGCAAAGCATTTCAGTTTTTAAAAATCGGTGTAATTCCCTTTTAAATGGACTGTAGATCAGTCTGGACATTACCTGAATATGAGATGCATTTGTACAAAGACAAGTAAAATAACCTTAAAATGCTGACCTTACCACTAAATGTACTCTGTGCATTAGTGAATGGTAACAACTACATGACATATATAGGGAATGTTGGGAGTCAGGTTTTGAAAAGTAGAAAATTCCTACACGCCTTCTCCCTCTCAACTCACAGGATGTTTCACACTCTGTCTTTTGTTCTCTCACTCTGTGCACTCTTTTGACCTTTTTTCTCACTCAGTTCAGTTTCTTTCTCTCTCGTTATGTTATAAAATTATCTACTTTTTTCTGTTTGCTTTTCTTATTATCATCTGCCTCATCAGTTCCAGCCTCCAGTGCAGCCACCGACCCTGCAGATTCACTCTCTTCCCAGAGCCAGGTAAGGATCGTCACTTATAACAACACTTCCACACTACAAATTAGTTTATTTATTTATTTTTAAGTTGTGTGAAATTGATCATGATATACTGATCAGAGGCTTTTGCAAACTTACAGAGTTCATGCCAGCTGGAGTGCATGCTGTCATTAAAGCAAAAATGGGGGGATAGCAAATACTAAGAACTTCTGAAGTTCATGTTAAAATTTCAAACACTCTCCTTTTCATCCAAGTTGTTATGCTGGTAAAATAATTTATGAAAACCTTTTTAATAAATTAGAAAGGATTGTAAAGTAGACACATTTTCACCAGTGGTCAGACTATTGGACTCCACCGTATATTAAGGGCATTGAAAAACTACCATTTTATTTATTTATTTTATTAATGAATGCATAAAATATTGCATAAAAAGGTACAGTGGGCTGATGTATAACCAGAGATTAGCACAGATAGCGATTTTAATGATATACCAAGATGTATGACCTAATGATAATCATACCAGTCACCAATTTTAATAATTTGATAACTGAAAAGTAAACAGTAATAGTGCATGTGATAATTACATATTTTAATATAAACATATGTGCCATGCTTAAAAGTGTATTAAGCTTATTGTTTTAGAAAACAAAGTGGGATTTGTTTTTAAGCAAACCATTCCAAGACCTTTCAGAAGGAAACTGTTCGTTGTTGTTTATGGGCTCTTAATCCAGGAAAGTGTGTTGTGATACAGTTTGTTACAATAACAGTACCATATTACATTATGTGAACAAAAAGTTTGCTCAAAAATCATATGTACACAATTTCTCTCTAAGGTACTGTTTTTTAGCCAAGTTACAAAATGTTTGCCTGCTCTAGTCGAAATACAGTTGATTTGCTGATATTCTGGGTTTAATATATAAAGAAAATGTTAAAACTTCTTCTACAAAGAGCACACTTCTGCACACTTAAATTCAACAAATAAGCTGTAACTGCACATTAAACATATTGGGGAAAAAATGTAACATAAACCATGGCCTGGGCAGAAGTTATATTTTGTGTTTTGTTTTTTCCAGTCTGTTAAACTTTGCAGTGAATAGAAAATCTATACTAAAATTAGCAGAAAAAATGGTTCCTTGTAGAATATGTTAACTTATTTTCGCTTAGAAAATAAACAAAACATAGTTTGACCAGGGTTGTTCAAAAATTTTGCTAGGCTTGCTGTCTTAAGTTAGCTTCTTTAGTTTTCACAAAACAAGTCCTGTATAATTCTACTTTTAAATGTAAGTTTACTTGCTTGAAGTGTACAATGAAATGTATATTAAGTGTTCTGTGTATTTATATTACTACTATTCTTATTACACCTACTACTGCTGCTACTACTACTACTACTACTACTAATAAAAATTATTATTATTATTATTATTATCATTATTATTACTAGACATAGCAGTGGTACTTGTGATTTGTGCTGAATGGAGAACTGCTAATAAACAAAGACTAAGATGCGTCTTAATGAGTGTAAATGTTGGGGAAAATGAGGACACTTTTTCCTTAAATTTTTTCAGCTGTCTCTCCTAGTCTCCACTTGGCTAGTAGCCCCCAGGTAATGGCATAATGTCAGAGATCCAAGATAACAACTTAGCTACAATGCAATGATTTGGTCGTGCAGGGCTAACTGGTGGTAATAAGCTTCAGCCACTTGCTAGCTACATAGTAATTGTGTATATATGATTTTTTTTGCGAAACTTCTTTTTTAAATGGACATTTTATGATACATTAAAATTGACCTCTTTTTGTCTGCGCATGTATGTTAGAGCCAGGATCCATCCAGCAGCAGGACTCAAAGTGGGGACTTCACCCAGGAAACCCTCGCCACTGAAACAGAGGAGGGAGAGGCAGATATGAGCCTGGTGGAGGAAGATGAAACAGAGAGGAGAGAGGGAGAGGAGGAGCAGGGAGAGAAAGATGAGCAGAAGCCCATGAGTGAAGGAGAGATGAGCAGTGAGAGAGAGAAGGAGAGAGAGATGGAGGTAGAGAAAAAAGCAGAGAGTGAAGAGGTAAAGAAAGAGGAGGAGGTAGAAGAGAAAGAAGGGGAAAAGGAAGAAAAAGATGAGATGAAAGAGAATAGCAGCAGCAAAGTGTCTGGGAAGAGCAGAGAGGAGAGCAGAGACACGGACGGGCAGAAATCCTCCTCAGAGAAACAGCACATCCGCCAGAGAGCCAGAGAGAGGCTCAAAGAAGGTGAGGGCCTTAAGGCCAGCACAAAATTTGAAAAACTTTGTTTCTCAGGGCGTCACAGCGTGCCACTCTAATAATTTAAATTAAAGTCATATTGAAGTAAACACATTTAGTCTTCTAGATAAACTGAGAAATGCTAATGGTCTTTTACCTCAACTATTTAATAGTGAGCTTGTGAAAAGTAGTACATTGATGATATTAAAAGTTTTACTTTACTACATCTTCCTATCGGCATTCTGTAGCGGCACTCTTCTACGTGATGCTTTGCAACGCTGCACCATGTGCTGCATTACATACACTCTGTGGTGGCCTTTGCTGTTCGAGCAGCTAAACAACATGCTAGTAACATTAGTGACTCTTAAAGTGGCCTACCTTTCAGACAGCAGCCACAGACTTTATTAAATATTGTCCTAAATGCAGAAGCTGGCATTCAATCCTGACATTTCATATCAGCTTAGTTTACCAGACCCATATTAAAGGGAAATTCCGCTGAATTTTCAAAAAAATTTTCTAAGTTATTCAAATGTTGAGATGTAAACAAAACCATTCTGGGTGGTATGATGTGAAATGGTGTGTTTTATCGACTGTGGTGTCTCTGCAGTTGTACTGATAGGAACTAGGATTTGTGATGTCTACAATGCAATGATTTACTATCCAAAGCAACCAGTGAACCTATATGTGTCTTCTGAGTTCTCATATGTGTCACTAATGTTGATAATAGTAAAATAGAGGCAAATCTGAAAAAATACATTTTCTTTGGAAACCATGAATAGCTTGTAACAAAAAAATATTTTGGGCCAAAACCTTTTCTTGAAACTGTTGTAAACGGTGTCTTAGCTGTCAAGGTGTTGTATAGAGCAACATTTCATGTAGATAGCTTTTAAGGCATCAAACATTTCTGACAATATGGACTGTGTTGTTGTAGCTATTCAGACTTTGCAAGTTGACACCATGGCAAATGTTAGTTTGAATGCATAAAAAATACATCTGATCTCTCCTAAGAGTTGTTATTAATAACACACTTTAAAGGATGATATTTTGACAAAGTCTGCCCTATAAGTTTTGTTTTACTTCTTCTCATCACACTGAATGGGAGTTTTGCACATGTTCTGTAAAACAACTTCACAACAGAATCTACGATAGAATGCAATTATGAGCAGAACATGGATAAATCGATTGAAGAGAATCTTATTTCCAGTTGTAGCTGCATGCCTGGGGTTTTGTTTGTTCATGAGTGTGTATGTTTTGTATCAGAATACTCTTTGGAGGACTCAGATTTGGAGGGCCTGAGTGATATCACAGTGAGTTCAGTGCACACGAGCGATCTCTCATCATTTGAGGGTGAAAGTGAGGATGATCAGCCTCCTTCTGACTCCACTGAGGAAGGAGAGATCACATCTGAGGGTGAGGCTACAATGTAGTAGCAACAGTTTTCCTGTCATACATGCCCAAAAACACAAACATATTGAGTTAAAATTACTCTGTGTTAAAATGGAAGTTTTATATCAAGTCACACTGACCATGCAGTTACGTTTGTTTGCTTTTGTATTTGTGTGTGTTTCTTTCTGTAGATGATAAGGTTCAAAAGAAGTCTGGTGGTGAGGACTCAGAAGACAGTAAGGAGAAAAAGCCTCGCGGTGCACGCCAAGGCTACATACACAAGCCTTTTCTCTACTCTCGTTACTATAGTGACTCTGACGACGAGGTGACAGTGGAGCAGCGACGGCGCTCTGCGGTAAGAGAGTGGTTTTATTAAGGCTGTGGTTTCTGATCTGCAGTCCTTATTCTCAGTTAAAAGTCTGGTGCCTAATCTCTATTATTAGGATAGCTCTAGATCTCTATTCAGTCTACAGTTATTAAACTCTACTAAAGGTTGTCCTTAAACTTCATCTCCATTAATGTCTCTCCAGGCAAAGGAGAAGGAGGAGAGGGTGTTGAAGAGGCAGCAGAATCGAGAATGTTTGGAAGAGAAGAGGAGACAGAAAGCAATACAGGCAGAGCTAAAGGGTGAGAGTCAACCATCTCAATTATTATCAGTCCCTTTATTAGCTGTAACCCAACTCACTATTCACATTGTGATTCATTACATAAATAAAATTAATTTTCAGAGGGTTGACACCTGCATATTCCATTGACAAACTGCAGAAAAGTCTGTTTAAAGTTGTTCAGGTGTCAACCTGATGTGTAATGAAAGTTTATGATAAAAGTTGTTGATATTGTTTAAGAACCTGACGTTAAGTGAAGCTTTATCATGGAAGCCATGGATGTGACTGGGTTCTGTTGCTGTGTGTGTGTGCAATGCAACTGATCTCCATTCTATCTCTGGCAGAGAAAGAGCACTCATCCAATCAAAATGTTCCACGGCCCCAAGCGAAGGAAGCAAGGAAGGAGAAAAAAGTTCTGGAAAAGAAAGTGGCACTTAGCAGGAAGAGGAAGAGAGACTCACGGTTTGTGTGTGTGTGTGTGTGTGTGTGTACACATGCATGTATATATGTAGAATGCATCCTGCAAACATGACTTTGATCATGTTTTCCTCTTTTATTTGGATTTAGAAAAGAAGATGACTCTGGAGGCAAGAGGAAAAACGATGGAGATGCAGAACCAGTAAAGAAGGATGTGAGTTTTTGCCTCTCTTTCCTTTTGTCTTTCTTTTCTTGCTTTGCCATTGTTGGTTCATTTTGTAATGTGGCACTGTCTCTTTAGGAGGTGCTAAAGTCTAAAGCAAATCCTCTGAAGCCTGTGAGAAAGCTGACTGAAGTAGAGGAGCAGCGCAGGAAGAAGAGTGGCAGCATTTCAGAAGAATTGAGCGAGCCACGCAAAATCCTTGACAAAGACCGCACTCACTCATTCATATTGGACCTAGAGATGGGGACAGAGGAGGCGCTTAGACAAAGAGGCAGTGGGAAAGGTGAGCGACATGTTCGCAGAGACAGTCAGTCCAAAGAGAAAGAGCGAAAAGAAAAAGAGAAAGAGCGGAGCATCTCTGATGAACGTGCCAAGCACAAACAGAAGCCAGAGAGCAGAAAAGGAGGAGAGACTGAGGCGGAGGAGAAGGAAGGAGGGGCAGCAAAAGTAACAGGTGATGATAAAGGAGAGAAAAAAGGGTCAAAGGTGAAAGGAGAAAAGAAGACTTCAGTGTCCATCAGGGAAGGAAAAATGTCCATGTCGGAGGGTTCAGCTGGAGAGGAGACAATGCTAAAGGACTTGAAAAAAGGAAAAATATCTGCAGAGATTTCCAAAGAAAAAGAGAAAGAGAGAACGAAAGGAGAAAAGGTGCTGAGCAAGAGTGATTCAAAACAGCTGCATCGTCTGGATTCCACAGGCTCCACTGAGGAGAGGTTGGAGGTTGAGACCACTTCAGAAGTCAATAAGAAAAAAGACAAGCACCCCAAAGATGTTCTGAAACGGTCAAAAAGTCACACAGAAGTCAAACCTCCAGAGAAGGTTAAGAGCAGACAGGACAGTAAGGATTCAGGTGCAGGTGAGCCTCCCAAACACTCAGACATAGACAAGGAAACTAGAAAGGTCAAGGACTTAGAGACAGGATCAAAAGTAAAATCTGTCTCAGAAAAAATTAGATCCAAGTCTAGAGACGATATAAAACCTCAGAGTCCTCTAGCAGCTAAGCTAGACAAAAAACCTCCAAGTCAAGAGGCCAAGAGTAAAGCAGGAACAACTCCAAGCAAACCAGAGTCCTCCAAGGAGAAGAGGAAGGAAGGGGCAACAAAAGAGGATAGGAAAGTCTCAGAAGACCGTGCTGTTGATAAAGGGAAGGAAACAAAAAGCACAAAGAAAGCAAGTGAAAAGAAGATAAAAGAGTCTGAGAAGAAAGGAGAGGGTGAGAAGGAAAAGAGGAGCTCTCAAGCAAATGAGACCCCACCTTCAGATGCACAAGCTGAGTCTAATCTCGCAGAGTCTGATCTCACAGCCACAGAGGGGTCAGACCCTCTCACAGAATCTGATCTTGCAGGCCAGCAGGCCTCAGAGTCCACTACAAAGTCTGATCTCACAGCTCCACAGGCCCCAGAATTTGGTCTGCCAGCCCCACACGTCATGGATGCAGTATCTAATTTCTCATCCTCGCCAGCCTTGGACATACAATCTGATCTTTTGGCCCCACAAGCCGTTAAGACTGAGTCTGAACTCATATCTACACAGGCCACAAACACAGAGTCTCATCTTATAGCCCCACAGGCCATGGACACAGAGTCGAATCTTATAGCCCCACAGGCCATGGACACAGAGTCGAATCTTGCAGCCCCACAAGCCTTGGATATACAGTGCGATCTTACAAACCCACAAGCCCAAAAAGCAGAGTCTGAACTCACATCTTCAGAGGCTATGGATGAAGAGTCTAATCTTGCAGCCCCACAGGCCTTGGACGTACAGTCTGCTCTTACAGCCCCACGTGCCAGTAAGGCTGATTCTGAACTCACACCCCCACAGGATGTAAACACAGAGTCTAATCTCATAGTCTCACAGGCCATGGACACAGAGTCTAAATTTACAGCCCCACAGGCTACAGTTTCTCTCAAAGAATCTAATCTTACAGCCCCACAGGCTTCAGATTCTTTTAAAGAATCTAATCTTATTACCCCACAGGCCATGGACACACAGTCTAATCTTACAGCCCCACAGCCTTCAGATTCTCTCACAGAATCTAATCTTACCACCCCACAGGCCTTGGACACAGAGTCTGATTTCACAGCTCCACAGGCCTTGGACACAAAAAATGATGTTCCAGCCCCTCAAGCCTTAAAGACAGAGTTTGAACTCACAGCCACACAGAACTCACAGGTCACGAACATGGAGTCTAATATCACAGCTTCAACAACCATAGACACGCTGTCTAATCTTGCAACCCCACAGGCTTCATACTCTCTCACAGACTCTAACATTACAGCCCCACAGGCCTTAGACACAGAGTCTGATTTCATGCCTTCAAAGGCCTTGGACACAGAATCTGATTTTATAGACTCACAAGCCATTAAGTCTAATGTCATATCCCCACACGTCACAGACACAGAGTCTAATCTCACAGAACCAGAGTCCTCAGCCTCTTTGACAGAGTCTAATCTCCCAGCCCCACGGGCCTTGGGCACAGAGGCTAGTCTCCCAGCCCCGCCACCCCCAGATTCTCTGACAGAGTCTAATCCTTCAGCTCCACAGGCCATGGACATAGAATCGAACGTCACAGCCCCAGAAGCCTCAGCCTCTTTGACAGAGTCTGATCTCCCAGCCCCACAGGCCTTGGACACAGAGGTTAATCTCCCAGCCCCCCAGGTCCCAGACTCTCTGACAGTGTCTAATCTCTCAGCCCCACAGGCCTTGGACACAAAGTCTACTCTCAAAGCCCCACAGGCTTTAGCGATGGAGTCTGATTTCACAGCTTCACAAGCCTTGGACACAGAGGCTAATCTAACAGCCCCACAGGCCTTAGACTCTCTGACAGAGTGTAATCCCCCAGCCCCACAGGCCTTGGAGGCGGAGTCTAATCTCACAGCCCTGCCAGCTTTAGACACAGAGTCAAATTTCACATCCTCACATGCTGTGAACACAGAGCCTGATTTCACAGCCTCACAGGCCTTGGATGCAAACACAGAGACTGATCTTACTGAAGAAGTGCCGGGCCCACCCACAGACTCTTGCCCAGAGTCTGATTCTACTGGTTTAACAGCCCCACAAGCTACTGGCACGCTCCCAGCGTCTGACACTGGAAGCACAGCTGTCCAAGACGACATGTATGATGCCCTAAGCGACATTACTCCAGAGCCTGAGGATGAGGAGGAGGCAGCCATGAGACTTACAGAAAGCCAGGCACAACCCTGCCCCCTCCCTGCAGACGCCGATGCCCTCTTGACGCTGATGGATGTCTGCGCCTCTGCAGCCAAAAATGAAATGACTAGTTTGCCTGAAAGGCAAGATACTGTGCCTTCATTCCAGGAAGCCGACATAAAGATGAAGGAAGCGGCTCTCACTCTGCTCTCCATGGACCCCGACCTTTCAGTGGCACAGAGTCCTATTGCCACAGAGACTACTTCCATTGCCATGCAAGATGTGGAACCTTCAGCTTCAGGTAATGCAGAGGAGGTATCAGAAACAGCTGCAGATGTCGTGACAGAGTCAGAAAGCAAAACGACTGCTACTGCCTTGCCATGTATAAAGGAGGCAGAGTCACAGGATGGAGATCAAAACACTGATGGTAATGATATTTTATTTGTTTTTTTTAATGTAGTAGATAACACAGTTGTGTGCCGTATTAGTGTTTCAGCTACTAAGTCAATCGTTAAGCATAGCTAAAAACTGACATGTTAGTTGCATTGATTTGCTGATTGATGCTTTGAGATTTATTATGAAAAGGTTATTAGACTTTTTGTTAGTTATTGGACAGATTCAGTTATTGTTTTTTTTTTTCTTTCATTTGTGGCCATCCCAAATGTGGAAGGCATGGCAACAGAGAGAGCTACTGAAGAAGTGGTGTCAGAGGTAAGCTTGATCATATCTGCTCTAAATTTTGTTGATTTGTCTTTACATTCAGTGACATTTTAACCATGTTTACTTGTCGCAAAAATGAATATGAATATAAAAATATAAAAATATGAATTAAATGAATATAAAGTCTTACACACTACGTTTGTCTAAGATTTGACTTTTGCTTATGTATGTACATTGTAGGTGTGTGATCGCGTTCAGTCAAGCAGCCTGGAGGTTGAATCAGAGCCCAAGTCTGAGGTTCCTTCAGCAGAACTTATTTCTAGGCCTGAACCAGCACGAGCGTCAGGTACAAATTTAGAACACTGGTTGGCACACTGGTTGAATTATGAATATATATAATAATGACGTCTCTGATGTATCACAATCTCAAGGTACAGTTGATAAAAGCTTCAGTGTTTAGGATATATGTATGTTTAGGACAGGTATAAGTAGAAGAGGAAACAAAAAACATTTGGGAAGGCAATAAAAATGAATTTCATATTTCTAAATTATTTTTTGTGGTTTCAAATTGCAGGTGATGCTTCAACTGAAACTGGATCCAGACAAACACATACAGACAGTCTGACTAAGGCTACAACCACTACAGAAACGGAAGTGAGTCTGATTATTGTGGTTTGTTGTTACTGTGATTTACATTTGTAATTTTTTTCTAATTTTTGCCTTCCTGTTTCTTGTCCTTGTGATGGATCTCTTCTGATTAAGGTTCTCTAATCTGTGTGTGCACTTGTTTTTGTGTGTGACCAGTCTGTGGAAAAACAACCAGAAACTGTAGAGCAGGAGGAGCATGACAAAGCAGTCACCACAGAGGCACCCGACTCCACCACAGCAGAGACCTCAGGTGAGTCTTGCACAACAGATTATGCTTCTACGCGGTGTCCTTATAGATATATATATATATATATATGTGTGTGTGTATGTGTGTGTATGTGTGTGTGTGTGTGTGTGTGTGTGTGTATATATATATGTATATGTATGTGTGTGTGTGTACACACTTTTGCCATTTTAATAGATGTTATACAGTACCTAAAGCCATGTAAGCTTGTGTGAATTTGTTTTCATTCCTTTTAAATCCCTTTTGTTTAGCCATGGTGTAGAGCTTTAAAATGAGGCTTTAAAATCTCTCACAGACTCTCTCAAGTTTCTGTGTAAATACTCATTAATGGGTTTCTTTGGTAATTACAGGTGTGGACCACACTGAAACCATGGAGCACTCAGAGTCTAAGGCACAACCAGAGGTACAGGGTGCACAACACTCTTGTAGTTTATTTTACAATACTTTGGGAGGATTTAGACATACATGTAGACTCATCTCCTTGAATGAATGAGTATGCCATTCACATGAATCATGTAGATTTTAAGAGTTTTTAATTTTAGAAAGAGGGTATAGGATTCTGCTGCCAGCTAGGCCTCGGTGATATCTAAAAATAATTATCATGATATTTTTTAGATGGAAATATTGCGGTTATTGATTATAACCACCTCCCACCAAGTTTCTATTCTTAGTGTGTATGCTTTTTTTTTAAAAAAAAAAACTGTTTTAATGAAATTTAAATATTCAATAATTTGAATATAATTGAATATATAAATGAGAAACCCAACATGTTTTGAAATTGGCTTTATATGTCATTTTGATAGATGTTACTGCAAACATGGATTTATGAACTCCCTCTGGTTTAGATTCATGGCAACTTTTGTGCTAATAGTGCCCCTTGCTGAAGAGACTTCAGACTGTGAGTGACTTACAAAGTCATGCTTTACATCTAAAAAATGAGGCGTTTTCCTTCTTTATAGCAGCAGAAAAGTCACCTTTAGAAAAACATGTAATACTGCAGTTATCACCTTTTAAGCAGTATTACTTGTTAGTCATTGTCATAACCTGATTACATTGCTCTGTTGCCCAGGAAAACTGAGAAATTCTCTCTGTCTGGAAGAGAAGGGTTCTGAAATGTGAAAAGTTTCATGAAGGGTGAAATTCGTTTTTGCATATTTGGATTACTTAAGTAGCTTTCAAACAGTAGATGCAGAAATGTTAATATGTGTAAATTATTATAGCTTACATCCAAGACAGTCAGCTATGGCTTCGTTTATGTCTGAAATTCATGTTCAACACAATTTCTGTGGACCATCGTAACTGCTGTGAGAGTTAAGTGACTGCAAATGGCAGTTGTTGAGGTTTGCTGTAGGTCTTTTTTAACAATTAAGTCAAAATACCTGAAAAGCAGTACAATTTTGGCATACTTTCAACTGTTGGCATAGTTGAAAAGAATGCTTCATTTTCATGTTAAAATCCCTAAAATTGTCTCTTGGAGCCCATGCCTCTCGACGCCTTACGGTTTCTGAACTTTTCTTCACTACTCACCAGTCTGCATATTTGTACACTAAGCCTAGATCTTTATTCAATACATGGTGCACTAAAACCACACTGTTACCTAATATGTCATACACTAGACATCTGCCAGTTAAGACACATTCTGTCTGAAGTTTGCGTTTTTAGTTTTGCAGTGGAGCTACCAGGCTAACTAGGAATTTGTGTGCCCACACTTGCCTTAGAATGCGTCAAGTTTCTCATATGGTTTCTGATACTGAACAACATTCTGTTATCTTTAAAAAGAGACACAGGAAAGTTTGTTTTTAGATGTGAAGCCTCTAGGTTGTAACTCATCCACTCACTCAGGTTTAGCAGGCTGAAAATTGTCCACAAGATGGCACTATTAGCTGTCGAAAACCATTTGATGCTTTTTAAGGGCAGTGCTTTGCATCAATGACACTTTGTCCTTGTTCTGTGTATTAAACTTTTAAATTAACGATGTTGACCACAGAATAAACCCGAGGACGTGGAGGAGACACAACGACAGCCAGTACGGAGAGGACGACCCCCTAAACTAATCAAACAAGCCAGTAGGTCACAGAGCGTGTGTTTTTGTACAGAACTGTTTTTCAAATGTAAGCCACAGTTATAAAGTCCTTTATGTTTGTGTCAGTAGTTATCTTAGTGCTGCATATCTTCTGTGTATAGGCAGTGCATCCAAGTCTGATGGGCAGGAAGAGGACAGATCTGATGTGTCAGAAGTGGTAAACACTCATTCAGAACAGTAAAACCGCACATAACTGTATTAACACTGGTCCATTCGTTGAAAACAAATGAATATATAAGCATTTCCCCCCTCTGTTGTACAGGATGACCGTGTGGAAGGCAGAGTGACCCGCAAAGGCAGACGATCAAATAAAAATGCAGCAGCAGTGAAGGAAAGCGGTGTGTGTTTTTGTTAGATTTACAATAATACCATGTAAACACAAACATTTATCAGCAGATAGAATGAAGAGAAACACTCCAACTGTTTCCTGTATTTTAGCATCCAAAGCCCAGACCGATCAAGAGGCCAGCGACAAAGAGTCCAAAAAAACAACTCAGAAAAAAGTATGTCATGGCTTTACTGCAACTCTCTCTCTGTTTTATCACCTTTGTGTGTCTTTTCTTTCTTTTATTTTCTTTCACTTTGATTTTCATTCTTTCTTGTCGTCCTCCTTTCTTTTTTTTTTCCTTTTCCTTTTTTTTAAAGCCATATATGGTTTTGATCCCGATTTGCCCCTTCCGACACATTTTCCCAATCGGAAACATTTTCAGGTTATGAGTTTGATTGGAAGAGGCATGGATGATCTGGTAGTTTGAGAGAGTGAACAAATCAATATTTAGTCTTCCAGTCTAGCTCCAGAGTGATTGGAAACTTTTGGATGTTTTCAGATATGTTTGATTTTTACAGTCCTGTAATGAGGGATAGTCAGTGACATAACTGAACGAATGATTCAGGCAGCAGCCAGTCAGAGAGGTGTAAAAAATGTAAAGCGAGGTGTACAGTCTTATGCAAAAGTTTGAACACCCCTGATCAAACGATATGTTGATTTTCTAAGTGAAAATAAGTTAGTACATCCTCTACAGGGAACAAACTTAAATATGGCATTTCTCACGTTTTTAGTGCACAATTTCCATTTATTTGTGGAGTTTAACATACTACAAAATATATATATATATATATATATATATATATATATATATATATAAAATGTGCCGTAACTTGTGCACAAACCACATTTTTTTTTAATATATTAAATTCAGCAAATAAACAATAATTGTCTATTAAAATGTGCAGAATTTTAGTTAAAACTTCCACTGTAGAGGCCAACATTAGGTTTGATTTGCTACCTGTTTTTAAATGTTTAAGTCGTGTATTGTACAACTGGTTTTCCCGTTTTCTCTCTCTCTCTCTCTCTCTCTCTCTCTCTCTCTCTCTCTCTCTCTCTCTCTCTCTCTCTCTCTCTCTCTCACCCTCTCTCACCTGATGTTTGTATTTTGACAGAGTGAGGACGAGGAGGCTGATGAAGGGACTGAGAGTAGAGCGCCACGCAGAGGACGATCGTCTAAACTTGCACAAACTCCTCAGAGAGAGACACGTAAGAACACAGGCATACACTTTTGTTTAGAGGTGGGCAAGATGGCAAAAATACAACATTACAGTACTTTAAGACATTTTAACAATAGGCGATATGCATGACAATATTTAGTTTTTCTGACGTTTGAGAAAAAAGACAAAACAGAACCAGCAGTGCTACATTTAAGAAATGCTATTAAAACCTATGAATCAAATAATTTTGTAGTGAGCATTTTCAGATTCTGCACTGCATTAAATTCTAGCTTAATTGTTCTCTCTTTGTCATGAATCATGCAGTTTTTCAGTGTTCTTTAAGTACCAAAGATATGCTTAGAAAAGCATCTTTTTCATCAAGATAAATATTATATTGCCCACCCCTGCTTTTGCTGCTTTACTAGAAAAAATGCATGCAGAGCAAGAAAGGTACTCGCTGCTTGTTTTCCCCAACACATGCTGCTGTATTTGTAGCCTTAACAATCTCCTACACATAAAAACATACAGACACTTAGATAGTCTAATAGTCTAAACAAAATATCATCTGCAATATTTCCTTTAAGGCCTAGTGTCACAGACCCAAGAGGCAGAGCCTGCAGAAGAGGAGGTGGAGCAAAAAGAGGTGCAGTCAATTTAAATCTCATCTGATTACATTTATTTTTAGCATGTGAATGTGTGTAATGATATGTATACTAGTGTTTAAAAGTCAGACCCTTTATTTATAAGTCTGTTTGAAAAAAAGTTGGGGTGCTGTGCAAAATGCAAATAAAAACAGAATGCAATGATGTGCAGATCATTTAAACTGGATATTTTATTGAAAATAGTACAAAAAACAACGTCAAATGTTTAAACTGTGAAATTGTATTATTTCTGAAATATATATGCCCATATTTGATGCCGACGACACATTTAAAAAAAAAAGTTGGGACGGGCATTTTTACCACTGTGTTGTATCATATTTAAGGAGATTGTTGAAAATCCGAAAGCAAGACACCCAAAAAAGAATAGAAGCTGTAAAAGGCAAAGGATAGATACACTAAATACTAAACAAATTTGATATTATATTTAGTTTTTGAGGCTATTCATCTGTTAAATGTGTGTTCTGTTTTTTTTCCTGCTGAAAAAGGAAGAACTTGCACTTTAAGGGAAATTCCACCAAGTTTTCAAAATGTCTACATAATTCAGTGGTTGCGATATAGTCATTCAGATTGGTTTGATGTGAAATGGTTTATTTGAAGAGAAACTTACTTTTTTTTTGTTTTTTTTTTACAGTGGTGTCTACAGCGCAAATATAGCCAATTTATTTGCTTTCCAGAACCACCAGTGAACCCATATGTGTCTTGAGTTACTACATGTAATGTTGATTATAGGGGGGATTTGGGGACTTTTTTGCCTTAGAACATCCTTCTTGTACCCATCCAACATAAACTGATTAAATAAATAGGTTAAAATACATTTAATTCATAACCATTTCATACCAAACCACCCCAAAAGATTTTGTGGAATTTTGAAAGAATCTGTGCAGTTCCCCTTTTAAGGGTAGTCTCTGACTTTTGCACAGTACTATATGTTGATTATTGTGTTTATCTGTGTGTGTGTACGTGTGTGTGTGTTCAGCAGCTGCGCAGAGGAAGGCGTTCTGGAGCTCAGACTGGCACTACAGGTCAGTGATTAGAAGCTCATTATCCTTAATAGCCTACAGTAAGCATAATGAAAGCAATTGCTTACAGTATCTCTAAAGTCTGTAATAGTTTATATTGAAACATTAAATTGGTAAAAGCAACTCAATCATTGACACAAGGCATCATTTAGCATGGCACATAAGAGGAAGGTACCAGGATTATGGAATATTGACAGAGTGGCTCCTAACCCTGTTCATAGCCATAAAATCTGAATGAAAAAAGGGTTTCAGACTGACTTTTAGCAATAACATGCTTTATGTAATGATGTAACTGTAAAGTTTTTGTTTAGTAAAGTTTATGTAAAGTATAATCGTATTTTATTTATTTATTTATTGATTATTTATTTTTCATTGAGGGGTTAACATTTTTCACAAAAAAACTCATTTGGATGCACAACAATGTAACAAGTGAGGGACCCTTACATTAAAGAGAGTACTCCATAAAAACCACCAACACAGTGTATTCAGCACACACATACATACGTTTGCTTTTTGCTCATCTGTAACTGTAATTTAATTGCCAGCTAAACCAGCACTGAAGAGAAAGAGATCTGACCAAGCTGAGGATTCTGGGAAGGTGAGTCTTTTTCTGAAATGCAGGTTCTAATTTTTTGAAAATGGTTATGGATGTGTGATATGATTTTTTCTGTTGTTAAATGTGTTCAAAGGTATTACCAGCTGAGGAAGAGGAACCTGTAAAACGTGCCCAAGATCACAGCGGTAAACTAGCTTACACAAACACACAGACACACACACTCAAAATGCGACATTGTCTTGTATTTTTCTTTTTATTCATTATTTTTTCATTTTTCTCTTTCAGAGAGCGTGTCTGAAGAGGCCGAGAAGCACGAAGAGCAGAAGACACCGAGTGATGAGGGTGAAGAGAAGAAGAAAACCAGTGATGATGGAGAAGAGGAGAAGAAAGAGAGTGACAAGGGGGAAGACGAGAAGAGAGAGGAGGTAGCAGAGAAGGAGAGCAATAAAGACTCTAAAGAGGATGCAGTGAGTAGACGTTGCACATTCTCTTGCACTCTACCACACACATCATTACACAGACCTCACATATTTATCATCACATTTCCCCACCCAAAGACCAGAGTTGTTATGTTTAACAAAAACTTTTTGTAAAATGTGTTCATTATTTGTAATGAAAATCAAAAGCGTGTGTTTTAAATAGTTAACTGCTCTTGGATGGCTTTTTATATTTCTCAGTACCTCTGGAAAAAAAAAATATTTGGGGCGCTATATAGCAGCTTAGTTTTGAACATCATGAATAAGCTTGAATTTATCTCAGTCCAGTACACTAAAACAAGTTATTTAGATGATTGTGGCATGGTGACAGGAAGCTTATGGCTGAAGACCAAGCACTATCATAGCTGACTTAATATTTGAGATGTTTGGACTGTGCAGTTACCTAAAATAAATAAATAACTGTGGTATTAAAAACTAGTTTTTGTGTCTTCTGTGATATTAAAAATAAATCATGTTCTTAGTATTAATGTTTACGGATGCTCCTGTTCCATTTTTACCACTTGCATGTATATAACAATAAATACAAACATTTAACAATATATTATTCAGTTTTAGAGGTGCTTCCCAACCTGGTCTTCAGGGCCCCAATATGGTCCACATATTTACTCCAACATGACTCACAACACAGGGATGAATGAAAAATGTGGACTGTCTGTGGGGGTCCTGAGAACTGGGTTGGGAATCATTATATTAGGGATTCTTTAAACCCAAGGAACCTAAATCAAAACCATGATTTCCACTTCAACACAAAATGAACACTGAATAAAATTACAGAGAAAAAAAATAGTTTTACGTTTTTCAGTGAAGAAAGGATAGTTTTGAAGGGGATTCCTTCTGGCTGTGTCTTTAGAGACAGCTGTAGCCTAGCCAAGCATGCTTTACTGTTATACTGTTAGCATTACTAAAACAGAAAAACACATCTGAGATTAATCTGAGCATTTCTGACTAAAGCAGATGTGTACCTCTTAGCAGTGATGCTAAAAGAGAATGGAGTAATGCTAAAAGGGAAAAATAGGAACCATGCTGTGACTTATACCCTGCATGGTGTAAAAATGCAGTAAACATTGAACAAATTTAAACACCACAAGCATACAAATGTATTGATGCATGTGTTTACATTTACATGTATGTATATGGCAGCTGATCGTGCTCATAGCAACTCAATGCTCAATATAATCATGTCACAGAGGTAGGCAAGTGTAGCGTTAGAGGTCTTGCCGAAGTACTCCTACTAGCTGAACATGGGGTTCTTGCCCGAGTTGGGAATCAAGCACTAGTCTGTTACCCTAGTTTGAGGACAGCATGCTAACCAACCGCTTTTGGTTAAAATGGTTATGGACAGGCTTATAGAGACAAAGATATCAACAAGATTGAGTCCATCGCTTTGATGCATTACGTTCTTATCATTACATACATTTGTATAAGAATTGTGTTTTGGAGTTGTAGTAAATCTTACACGCTGCATAGTTAGCAGTTTTTATAAAAAAAAATATGCATTTTTAACTTTCTTAGTGCCTTATTCCTACCTGAAACTGAAACTGAGTAAGAATTAGAACTAAAATGTTGCTTTTCATAAAGTAAAAATAAGATTAAAACTGTTAATACACCCTTAAAACTAACTGAAACTACACTAAAACTTACTGCACCATCAAAGCACAAAATACACACACAATATAACACACAACACCCTCCCTTTATGTGTGTCTTTTTAATGAAGGAGGAGGAGAAAGAGGAACCTGTGAAGAAGACTGCACGCAGGGGCCGACCCTCTAAAACCACCACTGTAACAGACGAACCAGGTATGACTGTGTGCTTGTGAATGTGCATGTGGCAGCTTGGTGTGTGAACGCAATCATACAGGATTGTACAAGGACATGTTCAAGATGACATAAAACAGACATTTCATCAGACATAGAGTATAGTGCAAAGGTTTTAGGCATATAAGTACATTATTTAAAAACATTTATCTTAAACAAATGCAAATAAACATAAATACTGAAAAAGTAACAAGAATAACAAGTAGCCAGGTTGAAGGAGAAAGTTTGGTTCCAGATTTCTCCTGGACAACTCTAGCCATCACATAGATTTGTGAAATTCCATCACTAGCAGACCTAATTTATTTTAACAAGGCATTGATTTGCCAAAGCAGGTATTAGGTGCTCAAGGAGAGGTTTGGCAGTGGTTAAACGAACGACAGTGTAAAACCACTACTTATTGCACTAATATTATTTGCATCTGATATAACATTACCGTTTTTTCTGCCCAATAAATGTCTTTTTAAGTCTAATTTTTCCAGGTGTCTTTTGCACAGTACTATATGTTTTTGCCTCTGTGCATCCAGAAACCTCAGAGAAGAAAGAAGAAGAGACAGAGGCTGGAGAAGAAGATGAAAAAGAAGAGGAAGAGACAAAAACGAGAGCCACAACTCGTGCTGCCTCTCGTCTGGAAGCTGAGAAGTATTACAGTTTATTAGATATTAACGATTAAGCTCACAAAGACTTGTACATTTCTCACGAGTGGCTTATGAACTTTTGATTTTGTTGTATATGTTGCAGAATAATTTATTTGTTTACTTATTTATTTATAATTTCTCTTCTGTGCAGGAATAAACCGAGTAAGCCGTCGACTAGAGCTCTCAGTAAACTGAGTGGGAAAGAGGAAAGCTCTCCAAGCACACGGTTTGTGTTGTTATGTGTTAGTTCATTTCATGCTTTATCATAGTGCTTTTGAACTTTATTCTCTTTTGGTTGAAAACTAAAGATACATTATGCTTTTTACCTGTGATCAATCTCACAACCCAGTTGAAATATTGTTACTCTGATTACTCTGATGCTCAGAATATACTTTTCTGCGTATATAGTGGATATGATCAGTACCTTAAGCATCTGTAGCCTGCGCATGCGTGCTTACCTGAGGTATATTTGAAGAGTTTCATTTCAAAATGCTGTATATCCAAGTGTAACAATTTTGGAGCTGACTTTAATGGAAAACATGTCTTTATTTCTCTAATAAAGGTGCTAGTAGTCATAATATTAATAAAGCATTACTTTTTCTTCTATGTGTAAAGCCTACTCCCAACTAATATATATATATATATATATATATATATATATATATAGCATCTAAAATAATTTAAATCGAGCTCAACGATTCACCTGACAAAATGCATGACCGATGTAGCTAGCTAGATATGGCTATAGTTTGCAAGTCAATGTAAATCGTTTCTTTTTTTGATAATATCGAATTCATCCTTCATGGATAAATGGCTACAAACAGAAGAAATTAAGATTTTTTGGTGTTTATAATGTGTGATTGTAAAGTCAAGAGAAATCCAATAATCTTTTTATAGGTCACAAAAGTTTTTGTGGCCGGTATTGTGGGAATAGTGCAGGCGTGTCAAACTGGGGAGCTTCTGGGGATATTAGTGTTTACCCTCATCTAATGCTCTAAATTCAGTTCATGAATCCCTTGCTAATTAGCTGTTTAGCTAAATTAGGTGTGTTTAATGAGGCAGCGAGCTGAAATCTGCAGTGTTTTGGCCCGCAAGGACTGGAGTCTGACGCATGAGGTATAGTGTATCCAAAGCTTTAGCGAGATCCTGGTGGTGTGGGTTCCTTCTTATTTACTGAGCCACACAAAACTGCTTGAGTGCAGATAGCTCCTTTGGAGAATCTTCAGCCTGCTAGACATGAGTGTGTTTGGGATGTGCTTTACATCTTAGAATAATAATAATAATGATAATAATAAATGTCTTTCTCTGTTTTTCCTTTTTTCCTCAGTGCTTCTCTTTGTCAGACGGCTGGAGCAGCGAAAGGGCGTAAGCGTGAGGCGAGTTCCCCAGCACCTCGCACACGCGGTGCCCACAAAGAGGAACCCGCCTCTAAAAGAACCAAACGATGAGCGTTTTGAAGGCACATTGTTGATTTTGCAGATCCTCACGTTAGAAATATTTGTATTTAAAAATCCTCAAAATGTACTTTTACCTTTTATTTTATACATTTGTTTTATGCGGTCAGCTATAGTTTTATGGTGAAATAGTGCATTCCTGGTACAATGCAAATGAACTCCAGCTCTTTTCACTAGGGCACATGCTCGCAATCCCGTTGCTGGAGTGATCTCTTCTCTGCACATTTGAGTGTTTTCCCTGCTCGCAACACACCCTTTTCAGCTCAGGAAGGGCTTGTGAACGAGCTCTTTAGTGGTGTGTTAGGAGCACTAAAATGTGCAGGGCAGGGGGTACTCTAGAACCAGAGATGGGAACCTACTGCGTAAGGGACTGTGAAACAAGTACTGAGACAGAATATACCTCACATATCACATGAACTCAGCTTTGACATGCCACTAAGCACAAAGGTGAGTAGTTAATTGACAAACTTCACTGAGAATGTTTAAAAAGTTGAAAACGAATAATGACCAGATTTTCACACCCAGTCAGTATGTAGGCAGGTTGGACACATCCCTTTGAACACCATTTGAAGATGGACTAAATCTGAAAGCCGGCATCCAAGCCAAGCTTTGTGAGCTAGCATGGTCTGCTACCATCTATCATTTATAAATAGTCCTGAATTTCTTTGATTTCATATTTGCCTAATGAATGTACAGCCCTGGAAGCATTCGTTTTTGGCTCAGTAGCCCATAATCAAGTAGGCCATTCTCAAAGTGTTCTAGAGCAGCTTTGGTAAGCTTGAGAACATGCAGAAGCTCTGTTGTTGTTTTTTTTTGGACCAAAGTGTTCCACAGTGCATTTCATGGAATTCTAGAGCTTGTTCTGCTGTTTTTGTTGGATTCAAAAGTACTCTAGAACAAGAGCTTTTGCGCTGTTGTCTCTGTTTGGACTGAAAAATATTTGAGCACGTTCTAAGATAAGGTGTTCTAAGGTGATGAACACGGGCAGTGTTTCATGTGACTCAGATAAGCTAACAGTCTAAAGTCTGTGTCATATTTATTCCACAAAATAATATCTGTCTATCTGTCCTTCACTAAATGCAGTATTTTCACTCTGAAGTATAAACCCAGTGCTTCTCACATATATCTTGCCCAAATTGCTTGTATATAAATAACAATTTAAAATCTACTTGGATTCACATCAAATTGGCTTAGTTTTACCTAGTTTAAAATCCTCATAGTTTCATGTATATTTGTTTTTTTTGTTTTTTGTTTTTTTTTGTTCTGGATGCGTTGATCCTGTTGGCATGTTCAACATGAAGACACTCATTCTGTGAATGTAAAGACTTTTATATGTTTAGCTTTTATTATAAAGGCCAGTGGGACCATCATTGTGTGCTGACTTTTTTATTATGTTTTGTTTTCTGGGCGTTTGGGCCTGAACGGTTGTTTTATAGTGTTGTAAATCTTTCATGCCAAAAATGGAGTTAGGAAAACAACGGGGTTTGCAGGTATAATGTTTTTGTTTGAACAGCCTGACAACAATTCTAGCATACAGGGATTTATACTTTGAATTTCCTCTGCAGCTGTCTGTGCATTTTCTAGTCAGGAAACGCATAAAATAGACATCCTGTTGTAAGCCAGGATGCACATGACCAGCCATGTGTGTATCTGTTGGAGACACAATCAGTTGTGTAGGTAGACATCTGCAAGCCCTGCGATCAGTTATCGGCAAGCTCTGCAATGTAAAATAAGGAAAAATAGAAAGGAAATAACTGAAGCTAAAGACAAAAATAAATAAACCACAACAGGATGAATATTGTATAATAAATCTTTCAGAATGTAAAAATGTACTTCTGAGGCCTTTGATAGTCTATCAAATATGTTAGTAGTCAAGTGATCTATTCATTATTTTGAAAAGTAAATAGGGTTTAAAAAAAGCCATGCACAACAAAAGATGGACTATTTAAAAAAAAAAAAAACTTGATTATTTAAAAAGATCTCATTAAAATGCAACATTTTATTAAAAATTATACCAGCATGACAATTTGAGAGAAAAGCAAAACCTTTTAAAAATTTTAATTGACTTTAAGAATTTCTTAGTCTTTGGTACTACATATCCCCCTTTTAGTTTAATGACAATGTATACTGGTTTAAGGCATGGACTTCACAAGTTTATACAAATGCTTCTGATCAAAATCCACTTGAGATTCATCTGAATGTGTGCTTCAATGAAAGGGATAAGACTCAAATCTTTGTACAAAAGCCTTATACACGGTCAGTGTCACAGATTTGATTCAAATTGAATAGTGAGCTAAAAGTAATAATGTGACACATTTGTTTCCAGGTTTAAAGAAAAGAAATTGCAGATTTTCAATGTGGTGTTATATTTTGAACATTTTTCAAAATAAATAAATAAACAAACATGTAGGGAAAAAACACATAAAACCACCAGGAACCAACAGACCCATATGGAAAGCTAATACATGACAATATATAGATTTTAAATATATGATATATTAGCATATTTGGATTTCCCTTCTAAGTCCAACTTTATCACATATGGACATATATGCCAACTTATTTAAACTGGCCATTTTCAAATATATATATATATATATATATATATATATATATATATATATATATAAAATGCACACAAACGTGTAATTGTAACGCATATAAAACAATATATGATACAAAACACTTCTTATATGAATGGCATGTACTACTCATATTCAGCTTCATGTTATATAACGTTTATACATATTTTATGTTGCTATATAACTAAAAATTTGCACACTGTAAGCTAATAACATCATTAAAACAGGAAAGAAACTGAAATATTGTTTCCTGACACATTTTAATAATTTAATATTCAAAAGCAAACAGATGATATTAACAACACATCTTATAAAAAAATCTGTCTACTTGACGGCCATCTTGTCAACACCCCCAGGCAGTTATTTTCAGGCTCCTGAAGAATCAGTTCTATATAGAACCATTTCATGCTTAAATGGTTCTTTGCATGGTTCAAACGTTTGCATCATTCTTCAAACTGATGGAGAATGTGTTGTGTATGGTTCTATATAGAACCATATATCTCTCAATTGGACCAAAAAGGGTTCTGCAATCGTTATGATGTCAAGCTTGTAGCAACAGAAGAACCATTTTAAAAAGACTCCTCATAGAACTACATGCTACACATTATTCCTCAATCTGAAGAACAACTTGACTATGCAAAGAATCAATTAAGCATGAAATGTTTTTTATAGAACTGATGGTTCTATAAAAAAGAAGAAGAACCATTTTTAACAGTGTATAAAACCAAAACTAAAAGCCACATTAACCGTTTATTTGACATCACTGATAAAATCTGACAAAAACAGCATAAGTGGTTTGTAACGTTTGGCCCAAATATGGCACAAAAACGCCACCCCCACCCCCACCCCCCTTTACAGCGTAAACAGCAAGCTGATTGGCTCATTTTATTGAAGGGCGGGGCTTTCCTCGTAAACAGACGCCATGTTGAGCGTTACTAGCTTTCTCGTTCATAATTTAATAATAATATAATAATTGGCTTTTATAACGTATCTAGAATGAACCACCACCCAATATGAATATGAATATTTTCCTTGTTCTAACGGCAAACAGGAGAGCTGAGTGGAGTTTTCCACTCGAGCATCAACGCCATCTCTTGACTCTTGGTATTTCTTGCTATCCAATCCCACAGTGTTACACTGCCTTCTTTTTCCTTCATGGACATTATTAAGAGACTTGTATTCCTCCTGAACAGCCACAGGGGGGCGCCGCTCGTCTGTAATATATAAAACGGCCAGTGTTGGTGACGTGCATATTGGATATGATGGGATAATGATATAGCCCTGCTTTACAAAATAATCCAGTTCATGTGTTCCTGCCTCACAATTACGGCTCAGAAATCCTTCAGCCTCCCACCCTCCCTAGTAATGTTCAGCACCTGGTTTCTGGAGTGTTGAGCTGAATGTAAGGCCAGTGTACAAACTGTCAGGCAGAGTAGCCAAAACCCACAGAGGAAACTCCAGTCCTTTTACACACATTCATATACTCCCTTTCACAAACACACAGTTTGGACAAGCTTGCTTGTATTAGTCCAGTGTTGGGGATCTTCAGCATCTTCTATGCTTATCTGAGCTGATTTCTGCACTGTTTAGATTTAGCTGCTCAGGGTGTCAGCCTTCTACCTTGAGCCTATCACTGAACACCCCACTGTGGAAATAGCCCAGTCGCAAATGGTGCCCTAAGCCCTGCGGTCCTCTTCAATATCTATACTCCGTGACATCAACAGTATGCAAACTTACCTAGAAGGCTTGGTTTAAATGTGTACATTTGGGACAGACTTGTGCAATGTGCAGGTGCATCCAACACATCTGTTGTACTCATTATATACCCCTTCCCATATCTGGATTAATGCATCTGATCCAGCCAATCAAGGAGTTTTTTAGAAGCTAATTAGCTGGAGCAGGTTGTGGTTCGAACTACAGTCGGGGGGTAGATCTCCAGCACCAGGCTTGGTGCCCACTGGCCTGGATGAATGACTGAATTAGACAGCTCTACTATCCATGTGTCTACAAGTCCCACAAAGACTGGGGATTGTGGTGCTGCTGTCCTCATTGTGTGCGCCCGCAAGGTCTGCAAGTCCCTTAGATGCAAGTCCCTTAGATGTCCCATGAGCAGCTTCTGGGTAGCTCCTAGAAGTTAAGGAGAACTCCAGTCAATGATCTCCTCTGGGTGGATCACGCACTAGAGGGCTCTCATGAGAAAGTCCAAAATGAATAGCTGCTTTTTGTGCAAAATTTTATTAGATGTTTCATCCATCCATCCATCATCTAAACCGCTTATCCTTCTGGGTCGCGGTGGGGTGCTGGAGCCTATCCCAGCTGTCATTGGGCGGAAGGCAGGATACACCCTGGACAGGTCGCCAGTCCATCGCAGGGCAGACAGACAGACATACACATTCACACACACCTAGGGGCAATTTAGCACGTCCAATCAGCCTGACTGCATGTCTTTGGACTGTAGGAGGAAAACGGAGGAAACCCACGCAGACAACATGCAAACTCCACACAGAAATGACCCTGGTCACTCGGCCAGGAATCGAACCCAGGCCCTCCTAGCTGTGAGGCGACAGCGCTACCCGCTGCGCCACCGTGCCGCCCTTAGATGTTTCATAAATAAGGAAAATTCCCTGCCTGAATGAAATGCATATGAACACAGTTAATTAGCCTGTTCTTTGTTTATTCACCTCCATTCATTAAGGACTGCATTTTGCATTCACGTTTTTTGTTTAATGTGAACAGGAAGTTGAAACAGGCAGAATCCCCCCCAAACTGGAGGAACTTCTCATTACTGGACAGTCTGGTTTTGAGGTCTGTTGTCCAATGTCCGGTTGATCCTCACACTGAATGACTCTATATGCATTCCAGTAATTGAAGTAGATTAAGCAGCATTCTATTCCTGTCATTTTGCCTCTGTCTCTGTGTCTCTATCTTGTTTACTTGCTTACTTGCTTGGATGCCCACACAGAGATTTTCCATTGTGGCTGCCTCTCAAACCACACCTACTGTACTAAATAGCATATCAAGTTAGTACACTATCACCAGTGCTATTGCTATTTTGCACATACTGTTTAGTACAGTAGTGCTCAAATTTAGACACAATGAGAGAATTGAGAGTGAAAATTGAGATTAAATTGAACAAGTTTAATCGATAATGCTTATCTATTATTTGTTTATTTATGTTCATATGAAAAAATGAAATGTGCCAACCCTACTTACTGGGTGTAAAGGATGTGGCGATATTAAATATTTATATCCTGTTATCAGCTGACTTTTCAAATGAGCATGCTTTATGAATGAAGTTCATTAATGAAGTTCAAACACGTCAACAACATAATTAATACTTTAATTATCAAAAACAGTGGGTGGAGGCAGAGACTACAGACCTACGTCTAAAAGATTTCTGTGTAGGACGTACTTTTCTGTCCTTGCTTTAAAAGCCTCTGATGTTGACCAAAGTTCATTCTCAGTTATTTGTACTTCTGTGCAAGATCACACTAAATATACCCTTTTGCAAATACCACACTGAAGTGGTACTAGACTAAGTATATATCCCACACTTCAATGCAAACAACATGTTCTATTATGCAGTATCAGAAATGTTGGGAGAAACATCAACACTGTGAGAAC